TAAGCTAAAAATTAGGGGTTGATTTGAATTAATTATGAATTTGGCACAATTTTTACATGAAAAAAATTTAAAATTTTGGTATGTTGTAAACAAGCACGTTTCATAATTGTGTACCAAAGTTTAGAATTTTTTAAGAATTTTTTAGCATTCTTCTGAATTTTCTTGTTTAATACTACATACTCAAATAATAAGAACTAGGGGCTGATTTGATTTAATTAAGTAAGTTTTTGTTATGATAAAAATATGAAATTTTGATATGTTATAAAAAAGCATGTTTCCTAATTTTGTACCACATTTTATATATTTTTTTAAGAATTTTTTAGTGTTAATCTGAATTTTCTTTGTTTAATGCTACACACTCAGCTATTTTTTCTTTTAGTAAATTTAATTAATATTTTCTTGTCATTTATTTAGAGTTCATATTCACATCTTTAATATTTAGGGTAATATTAATTTTGGGGAATGCTAATACCCTAGAATATTATATTAATCTAAATCTAAATGATAATAAAATTTAATTAAATTCAACATTAAAACAAAATAACTTAGATGATTTAAACTCCATCATTTTGTTTTTGATATGACAATCATGCTAGAACTTTAATCGAATCCGATGTTAAATTGATATGATTTCTAATTTTAGGGTCCGATGTTAATTCAACAAGATTTCACCATAAAACTTAGTCTTTTAATGTTTTTAAAATTATCAATTAGTTCTCGAAATGAGAATCGTGATAGGAATATAGGATTATAATATGATCCGATGCTAAATTAATACGACTCCCTATCTTGGTATTTGATTATAATTTAATATAATTTTATAATAAATCATAACCAATTTAGCATACCATAAAATGACTCCTTAGAAAAAATTAATAAAATTACTCGAAGTAAACAATAGATTAAAAAATAAGCTTATAAATATTGCGACAAAATAATACTTTATAAAATGATTTAGAAATAGAATAAGTCATTTAACCTTTTTTAGAAAAAAATATTTTGGGTGACTCGTTATATTCCCGATAAACATAATCAACTCACCCATAATCTTTGAAAGACCAAGTAATTTAGGTTTTCTAGTCTTTTTAAAATACTAGGTGATGACTCCTCATTTTTTAACTCTTTTAATAAGGGGTTTCGGGTAGCGACAACACTTGTGTATATTAGAACAAGTTTAGTGAATATCATTCATTTTTTTAGTAGAAGTATGACTTAACCTAAAGTGTCAAAGATCAAAACAATCATCAATACTAAGTTTAGGACTATTATTAATAGTAGACAAAGAGAAATGACTAAAAACAACCTTATTTAAAACTGCATATTCTAGAGATTGAAGAGCCATTGGATCTTACAAGAAGTAAAGACCATATTTAACTTTAGCAACTCCAATCGCTATCTATGAAAGAAGTGTCCGAATGAAACAACAATGAGCAAAGAAATCAAGAACATATTCTTTGAAGAGTGTGAGCTTGCTAATAGAGAGTAAACTGAAATTTAATATAGAAACATAGAGAACATTGTGAAGGATCAATTTGGGAGACAAAAACACTATGTTAGAATGTGTGGCAAGAGCTTTAGAACCATATGGCATTAGCCTAAAAACATGATTAATGATATGATATGAATGAAAGAATCGTAAAATTCAAGAGATATAATCTAAAGTTCCTATGTCAATTATCCAAGATTTATAATTCACAAGACTTACTATATGTTTAGATAATTTTGTATAACAATAATATGATGTTTGAGTAGGATTAGATTCAAAAGAGGATTGTATACCTGCTAGATTGGAGTAGACATGTGAAAGCTTGACCGAAGTATTTAGTTCAAGTGTGTAGGTTTGTGTTATTTATGCATTTTGTCTACTAAGAATAATCATTTATCACTAAACTTGAGATTAAGTTAAAGACACTTAATATTAAAAATTATAGCAACATTAAAGAAGTTGTGTCACCACTTATAGTAGTAGAATTAATAAAATTAACAACCACAACAACATCTTCATTTGATTATGAAGCAACACTATTCACGATAGAAGAAACTTTTTTTCATAGTAAACTTAAAAATAGTAAGGAAACTAATCAACTAAACACATCTCTCCTTAGTATGTCCATTTTTTCCACAATGAGAACACACAAAATTGTTCTTAGCTTCCTTTTGAAAATCGACTTAATTGTTATGGTTAACGATTTTTTAAATAATTGAAGTTGAAACTGTACAATCTTTTAATAGTCTTCTCTAATAACTAGACTATAAACCTCATTAAGAGAAGAAAAAGGTTTCATCATGATTACATGAGATCTTAAACCATCATAGGATTCATTTAATCTATTTAAGAGTCAAAACACATAATCTTTTTGTTGTATTTTAATAAACTTCTTGAAACATTTTGAGTTATATTTATAACATTCACAATGTGGTAAAGGTCGAAAATTCTTTAATTCCTTCCAAATAGAGTTCGACTTAATAAAGTATTCATCTACATTGTGAGTATATTGAGTTATAGTGCACAAGACATATTGCAAATTACAAATTTTAAAATCATCAATTTGAGAAAATTGTTTCTTTAAGGTTTTTCAAAATTCTATTACTTGAATCCATGTAGAAAATAGTAGGCTGCAATTGGAGGAGAAATTAACTCGAGAAGCTATGAGATGATGAGATTGTTACATCGCAATCGTGGATTATATATTAAATTAGTGCTTACGAGTGCAACAATAGTTTTATCAACAAAAACAATTTTTGTTGTGAATAAAAAGTATTAGAAGAAATGAATGACTCCAAGAAACATAATTATTTGAAGTCAATTTTGGAGTAACAATCACAATGTGATTTTTACGAGTGGTTAAGAAAATACGAAGATTGTGAATCCTCAATTGGAGTACCCAAGGAAGGATTTGTCATCGAAGAACTCGGAGAATAATTGCGATTAAAAATAGGAAAACAAAGTAGAATTGAAAAAAGGCATAGAAAATTGAATTGAGTCGAGGAGGAGATCGTAAAACAAGAAGGAATTAAATATCAAATTGAAAACAAAACCCTAATAATCTCGCTTTGATACCATGTTTGACAAAGAAGAAAATTTGGAAGAAAAGTAAAGAATCTTTTATTTCTTTATATATAACTGAAAAAACTTACAAAATATCAACCAACCAAGTAGCTCAAATACAAAGCAAGAAAGAGCCTAACTAAACAACTAAATCTACTCATAACTAATCGAAATGATTAGTTAGACTAAGTTGTTACAAGGTGAGTGGCAATAATGAAGCCACGTGTCATAGACAAGAAGATAATTCCCTTAATATAATCTTTGGGACTTTGTATTCTTACATTTTTAAGTTGTTTTTATGCACTTACCTCGATCATAAGAATTATGCGACGATACATCCCAAAAAGAATCCGTTGAACAAAGGCAAAACTAGCAAAGTAGATGCTCAAAATTGACTTACCTATATATTTTGCTTATATAAGAATCGATTAAGTAATGTCGGAGTCGACCAAGCTAACTCTAAAATAGATTCGATTGAGTTTGTGCATAATCTTGCTCATTTTAGTAAGATTTTGTGAATGGACTACTTCTTCATTAAGAGAAATTCTTTCCAAATGAATAATTAATTTATTATTGAGCTAAGAGTCTCTTCAAATATATTTAATGTTTACTTGGTTGAACTCGTCCACAACTGCTACTTCCATATTGAGTGAAAATTATTTTTAACGAGATAATTCTATATGTAGTGGAGATTGTCTACAACAACTAATTCTTTACTTGGACGAACTTTTTATAATGGTACTTTCATAGTGAATGGAGATCATTTCTAATAGAAAAGTAAAGACTAATCCACAACAACTAATTCTTTATTAAGAGGATTCTCTTTAACATACAATTCTTTATTTATATGGATACTCTCAAACTACTAGTTTTTTTTTTTTTTTTTTTTTTTTTTTTTTTTTTTTTTAAATACATTTGGTGAACCACAAATGCAAAGAGTGTGCAAAAGAAATGGAGAGTCAAGAAAGAAAAAAAAGAAAAAAAAGAGAGAGTTTCTTCGATGTATACATGAGATTATAGTGAGCTAAACTTGCAAATACCACTTATTGTTATTGACTGAGCTTGACTTGTATTATCTACCGTTTAAGAGAGTGTTGAAGTGATGTTGTTACGTAAAAGATACAAATAAAGGTGTAGGGATACACCTTAATTAATTAGTTAGAAGTGAGTTTGACACTAGCTAAACTGAGGGGATTGCTCTTGAGTCCGACAAAAGAGTGGTTGTAAAAGGTATTATTTTCGTTCGTACGTAAGAAGATTATTAGTGGATTCGAAATCCCAAGTGGAGCTTGGGGACTGGATGTAGGCAGGGGGACTGAATTAGGATAAATCATTGTGTTTGATTTTTCTATCCTATACTTTGTACTTTATTGTCTTGTTAATCTTACAAGTTATTTATCTATCTATAAAACATTGTTAAGTTTCTATTTTTTCATAAGTTTTCATCAAGATCTATATATTCACCCTCCTTTAGACCTAACTCTTGTCCAACAAACTCTTCCTCTATGGCTTTTCATAGATAAATACTCTTCAGAAAAGATTTCTATCAAGACTTTTCACATGGAAATTTTACTTTTTCCATCAAACTTTGAAATTAGGCATGAAATATATTGTATTGATCTAGCCAGTCCGAAAACAACTTGACTCCACTCAAATAACAAAACTATACATCGTCTTCTTTTATTTATGAACGACTTTGCATTAATAATTTGTCTAAAACTCACAAAAGAAAATTGATAGTAACTCATTCCACACATAAAACAACTTTTTTCTAAGCTACATAAAATAATTCAACACAAAAAAGCATTGGGCGTAAGAAAAGATGAGATATTTGAAATACCAAGTGCGTTACATATATTTATATATATCTTGAGGTTATATTTGCATAATTTTGAAACACCAAGCTATTTTGTGAAGGCTAAATTTTCACAATGAAACTCTAAAAAACAACTCATCTTCGGTGAAGTACTTCGTTGGCGAAAATCACCCTCGGAAGCTGACTCTCTTCTTCATCTTCTTCCTCGTCGTGGGAGGGGTGAGGGATATGGAGAGGCTCCATGCTATGAGAAGATGGTGCATTGTCAGTGACAAGGTCAAAGTTGGAGGTGAAACTGCTCATGTTGATAAAGTTAGTGGAAGCTGAGGAATTGTTTGAGTAGGCTGGTTGTGGCATTGCAACATGGTGTTGTTGCTGCTGCTGCTGCGAGTTAACGTTCTGAAGGACATTTGCCATAGCAAACCGACTGTTTATTAGCTGAGTTTGGACCATTGAAAGCTCAGCTTGCAATGATGCCACCTGCAAAAGAGAGGATATGGGAGAACCACAGAGGTGAAGACTACTGAACAGGTTATTTGGTTCTTGTGCTCTTCCTTTTTTTTTTTTTCCTTTCAAAACTCAAATTACCCACTCTAATTTTGAAAAAGCAAAAGGACTTTAAGGATCTATGCTTGCAGATAAAAAAAAAAAAATCTCAAAATTATGATTTGTACTTGTGTAATTAGTCATGAATTACTGGTGGAGTCATCTTAATTAATCTATCTTGATTATTGTATTTGGGTTTTTTTTCAATCAAAATCTGATATGGCGCAATGAGATGTTGATTTTATGTCTTGTTGGTTGTGGTTTTCAGCTTTTGTATACTCTTGGCAATGGAGTTTTTGAGGAACTTTTTGAAGAAGAAAGGAAAGGAGATTAAAAGGACAAGAATAATATAGAAAACAAAAAGAATTGAATTTATTTAAAATTAATTATTCAAGAATAAATGAAACAAAAGTGGGTAAGTTGTAAGTTTAAATTTCTTCTCGCTGCCTATTAATTTCTTCATGATGATTAGAATATTCAAACAAAATAAAGGGTGTGATTTTGTCTCCAGTACATTACTATATTTTAGCTTGGTGGTTCTCTTTTCCTGCAACGAGCAGAATATGGTAAGGGTTGGAATGTATTTTTCTTCTAATCTTTAATATTTTCGTATAGGGTATCTAATAATCTCAGAAATTGAAAAAAAAAGTAATTGTTTATCCTCTTAATTAATTAGTTTTTTTTTCAATAAATAAATAAATAAAAATCTGGCATTATAACCAAAATACTCTCTTAATATAAATGTAGAAAAGAAATCAACCATGAAGAAGTTAAGGAATAGTACAAAAACCTAGAATATTATTTCTTAATATATATATATATAGTTTGGAAGAACATTAAAAATATTACTATATATGATCAGCTAATACAGTGACATCAAGCATCACTTTTTCAATAAAGGGAATTGAATGATGATGATGATGATATATAGCTACAAAAGTTTAGTCAATCTCTAACGCTCCTCTTCTGTTTCTTTAAAACGTAGACACTTTACTTTAAGCATGATAAGGTTTATGAGTGAATGATATATTTATGATGATGATGATGATGATGATGATGATGCTACAATAGCGCATAATTCACGTGCTCATCACTAATGTATTTATTAATTTAAATATTAGAGATAAACATTGGCCTTGTAATTAAATTGAAATTATATAGAAGCAGATAGAAAATTAAAATTAACCTGCTGTTGCAAAGCAAGTATGGTTGACACACAACCATAAACCGGGTCGGATAGCCTTGCTTGTGCCTCATAAGATATGGTGACAACTGCTTCATGCCTCCGGTTCAAAGGAATATGCACCAAGAGCTTGGACACATTACTAGCACCAAAAATCTTGTGAACCGCCGCAAACCGAGCGGCTCCCTGGTCTGAACCAAAATGAGGTGCAAATATGCATCCACCAATGCATTTCCTCCTCAGAAATTTGCATGCACCACATGGAGCTGCCGGGGTCGGTGTCAAATCAGACACCGATTGGGACTCATCTGACACGGTGGCGGCACGCTTACCTGTTCCCTTTCTTCGAGTTTCGGGCATTGCATCACCTCGTGGCTCAGTCATTAGAGATTTAGGGTTTGATTGGAGAAGAAAAGAGAGTGATCATAAGAGCCAGCAAAAGAGAAAGGTGGTGGGCTTGGTGTTTATATGTGGATCAAAATGGACGGGGGAAACGTTACTCTCGTGATGGGGTTAGCAAGGTGAATGTGGGAAGCTTCTTTGTTTCTTTTCTTTCCGTTTTCTTTTCATTTTTCTTTCTTTATTATTATGCATCCACATTGTCTACATTGCACAATACACATTTACATACATGATGTAATAATTTTTGGTGTTAATACTTGTAATGTACATGTTTATGTAGAGACGAATTCGATGGACGTTACGGTTGGTAAAGGGAATGAGAAGGTTATGAGTGGGGAATCAGCAGCGCGTGCAAAAGAAGAATTAGAAGAAGCTAGGGGGATGGATGTTAGATATTGGATGCGTAAAATTATTATTTCACTTAAAAACTTAAGTTGTTGGGTAAGGTTTTAGAATTATATTACCTTGTGTTTAATTAATTAAAAAAAAAATGAGATGGTAGAATTCGAACTCGTGACCGTTTGGTCATACTACGATATCTTGTCAAATGATCATCTCACTTACTTACCTTATGCTTAATTAATTAGAGGAGAAAGTGAGATGGTAGGATTTAAACTCGTAACCGTTTGATTGTCAAAAGGATCATCTTACTCAAAAGTTTAAATTATTAAGCGAGATCTTAGAATATGATTTATATTATTATTTAACAAATGCGTAATTAGTTAGAGTATAATTCATCAATTTGAAATGGTGTTAAGAGAGAAGTTTGCAAAGAAATGATATTAAAATGGTAAATAATGTTTGTGTGTTTAGCTCGAAGAAGGTTGTCTTCGAACGAAGGCACAAGATTTGTGCTGCCCGTGGCGTGTGGGACGATGGGGGAAAGCTAAAAGGACCAGACGTATATTGGTGTCATATGTAGCATGCGAGGAAACACAAGCTCCTGCTGTGTGATTTGTATTCTTTACTGTATAAAGAAATTGTTCTCCTTTTTCCCTTTTTTTTTTTTTTTATTGTCATTATTAAGATCCCTTGTGACAGAAACTTACTCCTATCCATGATCTTGTGTGTCAACGTCACACAGTTAGTGAAGAAGCCTGACAAAAGTAGTTGTCAGCGAGAAAAGCCTTCATAGTAATGGCCTGGTCAGTGGTCACAGACTCACAGGAACCTGGATCCTTCCCTTCCCCCTCCATTCATCACCAACCAACATATTAACAAGCAAATGCAATCAATTCCTTTTGAAAGCGAATGCATTTGTTTTCGAACTGTAGAATTTGAAATTAGATCATCTACGTAAAGAACCCTTGAATTTCTGCTCAATATTTTATACTGCTCATTAGTGGCTGATGGGATCTACAAGCCAAGCAACTAATTTGGTCAAAAGGCCATGAGAAAATTCTGGCCATTGGAAAGGATAATGTGCAGGAGAACACAAATAGAAACTGGTTCACATTTTTTACTCGACATAAAAAAAAGGAAAAAAAGTTCATTATGCTGGAGGGATGATAAATTTTCCGTAAAAATGTATACCACGGGCTACAAAAAGATTTTTGCCATCACTTCCTAAGATTTAAGTATGTTCTGAAGGCAAGGTACCAAAACAACAAGAGCTGCCACAAAAACATTGCAAGCCCTTGGACCTGACCCTCATCTCCCCATAGCTAAATGTGAGCTCTTCACCTTCTTTTATGTTTCTAGAAGCAAAGAAGCAAAGGCGAGGCAGCAAAGATCCTGAGTTTCTCACTAGTCTCGTCGTTAGATTACCGCCATCACAAGAATGGTTTATGAATCGTGCAACGTTTCCTGTTCGTGTGGCATCGAGATTTATCCTCAAGCAAGCCTTCCCTGATGGAAGATGCTCTCTCACGACCAAGAGAGCAGAAGAGAATTGGCCTCCAGATGCAAGCTCATCATAGCTTTGTTGCCGCCTTCTTGCTTCTTCAGTCGTTAAAAGTTCACCTGTTCAAATTCAAACAAAGTTCATCAAACTCATAAGAAGTCCCCAATATGTGGCTAATGCATTAAATTTCAACCTCACACAGAAGAGAATCTCATGCCATCAGTTATGACCCAAAACACTAAAACAAGCCTATGACATAGCCCGGAAGATTGTACAAAAAAAACGAAAAACAATCTAGAAAAACAGAGAAAAGGATTGAAAAAATAAGCATGAAACTAAGCTATTTAAATTGGATGTTAGAAGATACCTCAGTTATTTAAATGAAGTGCGCAAATTGCTATTTTGATATAGCCATTGAGCATTTATAACATACAAGAGGCATGAAATCAGGCATACAGAGACCACATTGGCAGCTTTTAAGAAGGATGGATGTATCATTATTTTATCAGATCAGTAACACAATCATATCACCGGGGGACACTTTGCAGTTCCTAATTCGTCTTAAGAACTTCTAAATGGGTAAACAGCACAACCATCGCATAGGTCATTGCTTATTTAATCTTCGATTATCGAACTTGTTCATGATCTACAAATATGAGCAATAATGTTTCTCCTTCAGCTTTCCTCCCAAGTGTGTTCATATAGTTCACCAATCCAGCATATATCATCGGCTAGATTTCACTCTCAACAAGAATAATGTATCTTACTTAGTCCCTATGGTTCTAACACTTGCATTTCAAAGTTTAACCACAGTAAATTGAATCAACCAATTATCTAACACCAGTAGTCCTACAAAAGAAAAAGATCATAGTAGCTGAATCCATGAATACCAAGAACATATATATTTTAGGGCAAATGTGATTCCTTACGTTAAAAATAAAATCATATTTCATTACGGGAAAAATAAATTACCTGCATACTCGCAGATAAACTGGCCTTGGCAAATCATTTGATCAGCAAACAAACCCCAACCTTTCTTGCCACTTCTCACAATCTTCAACTTGACCAAAATCCCTCTCTGAGTCAACCGATTGCTACACTCCAACCGACATCCACAATTCGGTCCACACTCACTCATTATCCCGATCTCCTCCAACCCCAAAAATTCACACCTTGTCCCACCCTCTTCGCACCCTTCACAATCACACACACACACACTCTTCCCTGACTCGTCTATACCACCGAGCGGAGTTGGCAATTCCGAATTATACCCACGTAAAACCTCCCCGGACTGGTTCAATTTGCATGCTGAGCCACCACCGGGTCGACCCAGAGAGGCGCGACCGAGTTGAGAGCCCCAAGGCTGGCAAAGTGGGGATTGGGAGGGAAGGAGTTGGGAAGGGGTGTAAAGGAAATAGGCATATGATTGTTGGTTGCTGGGATTGAGAAATGGGATAGGATGGTTCTCTAAGGATCTGGCGGCGTCGAGGGTGCGTTGGAGAGTGATGGATTTGGAGATTTGAGAAAGGCTTTTGCAGGTTGACGAAATGTTGGCTATTTCTTGTGGGGTTAGCCATGGCAGGATTACCTCTGCGCATTGAATCAAAGGTGGATCCTTCTTGTTTGATTTCTTTGCTGCCGCTGCTTGTTGTTGGGGCATTTTGAGGCTGTTCTTTGTTTTTGTTTTTGTTTTTTTGTTTTTTTGTTTTTTTTTTCGTTGGGGGGAACAAGTAAGTAGCTTCTGTTTAATAGCAGGGAAAATCGCTTTTTATTACAGATGCCGCTTTGATGGTTATATATATATATATATATATATATATACACCTAGTCGAATATTTTCCTATCAGTTTTCAGATGATACTGAATTCTTATTATTAATTTTTTCTTTTTGGCTAAACCAGTCTTACAACAAGTTCAGTTTTTTTCGACCACTAGGCTGTTCTTTGAGCCAAACTAGCTCAAGTCCAGTATTAATTATTAATGGATAATGAAAATTGGATCCTAGTTTTAGCCCAACTAAAAGTAACTTATGTTTTTTTATTACAACTTTCAGCTCGATTCATGCCTTTTTGTTTCCTTGACTGCAAACTCATTAAAAAAAAAAAAAACACACTTAAACAACGTAATTTAAGCATTCAAGTTAACTATCAACATTTTAACAGTTAAAGATAATAAAAAAAAGATAATATTTATTCAAAAAATAATAGTTTGAGATCTAAAAGATAATATTTATAATCCCTAATAGTTTGGATGTAATTTTTACTAATAAGCCCAAAAAAAAAAAAAATCTAAAATGCTTAAACAACGTCATTTAAACATTTAAGTTAATGATCAAAGCTGTGATGGTCGAAAAGATAATCTTTGCTTAGAAGATAATAGTTTAGAGACTAAATAATTCAAATTGATAATAAAAACCTTAAATTCGCATAACCCTAATAGTTTGAGGATAATTTTTGCTATTAAACTTTGTCGAAACACATCTTTAACTATTAACCCAATCCCTTATAGATTAGTTGAAAAGATTATTTTGAATTACATTTCGTAGCTGAAAAGAAGGAAATATAAAATACAACTTCAAGTTTCTTGTTACATGGTAACAATTGTTAAGAGAAAATATATTCATCGTGGAAATAGGATTAAGGAGAGCACTTAACGGTACTAAAACTTCAAGAATTTAATGAAGCATTACTCTTTAAAGAAAGGCTGTGCATTTTTATAATCATGCATTACGTCTGACATAAATTAATTTGATTAAAAAATTTAAGCCAACGATGCAAGAAGGGAACATTTGTTCATAGGCCTCCCCTGAGTCCCTTACCACACCAGGTGGAACAATTTTCTGCAAGCGGATTTTACTACAATTACAATTGCATTGCATAAATTTAATCCTTTTCCTTGGATTAAATGATATAAAAACCATAAATTGATTCCATCCTACATCTAGCCACCTTAGAGCATTGCCTCGTTAGCTTTTTGATGCAAAGATATCCTGAGTTCCTAAGATTTTGAATTCCGAGCTAGAAGCTGGGAGAATGAATGGTATGATTCTGGAACTACACTGCATATAAGGGCGAGTTTACAATGAATTGAAATGTTTCCAGCCCCAAGTAAAATACATGAAAAAATGGGGAGGCTATAATAAAAATTAATAATTACAAAGGTGGAATACAAATTGAACATGATTTCTGTGACTATAATTTGATTACTCACATACCTGTCAAAATTGGCTTCATCCCATGTATTATACATCAAAATGTGGTAACAAGACCTATGCCTAACTCTTCTGCAAGCTCATCCCATACTGGAAGGAGTGTTAAGGCAACTAGGAAAATGGCTGTTACAACAGCTGCTTTCCTCCATGTTCCAACTTCCGACACATCATTTAAACATGGTTTTTCTGGTGCCCTCTAAATACATGTTGTCAAAACAGAACCATTAGAAAAGGATTTTAGAGATCTGAAATCATAACCTCATACTTATCAGTCTGTTATTTTCTTATCATCTGCATACCTGGCATATCAAGATGTATATTCCCCAAGGAAGCGACAACGGTCCACCAAGCTGAAATGAGGAGAATAAATGAGGTCTCAATTGGAAAAGATGATATTAAAGAATCAGTTAAGTGATGGAGTTGATTACAAACAGTAATGCACATGTCATCAATGAAGACAGTATACCAACTTATGAAGTAGCATTACAGTTTGGAGCAGAGCTCTACGGCAATACTGGTATACTGGTGTTATTTACTTCTACACACACACACACACACACACACACACACATATATATATATCAGGAAAAAGAAGAAGAAGCAATAGTAGCAACATTCTCATTTAATAACCAGGGCCTTGTTGATATAAAAGATCAACTCTTTAATTTAGCAGTGCCATTGAGCTTTTGAAAACAGGCTAAGCAGAAAGAACAGGGTAAGCATACCACTCCTAAACCAAGCAATGTGTATGTTGTCAAGCCAAAGCCAATCAGTGCACCTTTCCCAAAAGCACCCTGCAAAAGTACTTAATTAGACAAAATATTATCAAGTTGTCTGAGATAATTTCTAAGGAAAATCATAATCGGTCAACATTGTGGGAGTTGAAACAAAGCGATGCAGATATATAAAACTCTTTTGGAGAGCTCATAGACCTTATTCTGCAGATCAAAGAGTAGAACAAAGTGTGACATAATTCCTCACTCATTCAAATGCTAGTCTTTTAGTATAGAACCAAGGCTTTCTGAGCCAACTACTATGATATGTGCATCTAGTGCAGTGGCTCAGAAGCAAGCTACCTAGACCTTCTTATGAAGTTCTAAAAAATGTACTGATAAAACACTTTAGGGGCAGACTGCTCTACATTCAGCCATGCCACAGTGACCCCCTAAGCGATCTTTCTCTAGTGGCAGGTCAAAATCCAACAGCCCATGACCAGTTCAGCAATGAGAAAATCCTTGCATCATAACAAATTTTTTACAGACAACATTTGGGATACAAAAGGAGGTTGCTTTTGAAAATCTGAAATAATACCTTTTACAAGTAGAACGGCAGAAAGCATTGAAATAATAAAAGAATGGCCCAAAAATAACATCACTAGAGATGATAAAAGAGGATATAGTTACTTGCAACTTAATGGAGGATATTGATTCAGAGTTCAGATAGAGAGAGCATAAAAGGATAAAAAAAAAAAAAATTCAATTGGGAAAATAAATAAGTTTCCACATGAATACATTCTTATAAGAATAAAATTAGTACTTTGAGTTACAAATCCTATTAAGAAATTCCCACATGGAAATAATTCATCTTCATTGTATACGTATATCATAGATATATGAAATGCATTTATACATATCAGGGAAGCTCATCAGGCAACTGTGTAAAATTCTCTCTACATCAAACTAAGTAGCATAAAATCAGAAACACAAAGCAAGGGATAGGCTTAAAACGTGCCAGCAAGAGAAAAGTACCTGAACTGCTCTTCCACCATCAAGGCATCCTACTGGAAGCATATTAAAAGCTGTTGTGGTTAATCCACACCTGCCACAAGTCATTGTAGGATAAGCATATGTCAAATTCAGAGCATACTAAAGTGAATAAAGAGAGTTGGGAGCGATGTATTACCAGCCAGCAATCACTAGCGGATGAATGGAAACTGTTGAAGCATGCAGTGCTCTGCACATTTACAATAGCTGTGTTACCAAAAATTCGATGAATGAGAAACACAAGATAAATGGAAAATGAAATAAGAGTCACTGAACCCTGGAAACACTTCGTAGAATCACATATCGACAATTATGCTGGTTAAAGAGAAGTTATAAAAAGCATTGAGTAAACATACGCATAACCAAGAATGGCTCTACTAATTAGTCCAAGAAGCAAAGAGCCTTGAAACAGCATGCTCGGAACTTGTACCAAATCTCCAGCAGCAGCTGGATTTGATGAAAGCAGCAGACCAACAGTAAACATTGAGAAAGAGAGTGCAGCACCAGCAAATGGTCCAGCAAGTGAAATGTCAACTTTTGTACTCCGATCAGGAATGATAGATTTGAACTACAAGGATTAAAAACTGGAGATCAGGTAGTTATAAATTCATCTTCCTCATTCTTGTAGCAGTTAGGATAGAGAAGATAGAGGTTATATATAGCTCTAATTAGCAAGCCATCATAGATATTTAATTCCCAAGGTTGCATCTTTCAAAAATATAAACTTCTGGAGCTTTCCATGAATAAAAATTATATTTTGAATTGATATGATTCTTAGGGGTAAGCAATTTACAAAGATATAAAAGAAAGCATTAGCCACTTATGGTGAATCTCTAGAGTTTGCCAAAGATAATTGGATAATTAGATATATTCACCTGAGTGATTGCACCAAAGCTTCCAAGAGTAATGTTAGGTATGAAGAATGGAATGCTTAGTTTCACTTTCTTCGGGAAAGCAGCAAGAAAGTGCCCCACTTCCTGCATGTAAGCCAACTTCATCAAGAAAAGAATAAAATGTAATAATAAATACATAAAATTAAAGATAACAACTAAAACATAAACCTCTGAATATGAACTGGAATAAGATAAATTTAAAATAGTTGGAGAAAAAGTTAATGAACAAGCCATGGTAGCAGATACTTATGACTTTCTCATTCAACTCGTGTGTGACATTATACTCCTACTCTACGTTTCTAGGATTATTTAGCACGTCTATAGTAATGCATTTTTTTTTTGTTTGCATTGAATCTTGATTTGCTTACATGAAATAAAAGAATTCCCAAAACACCATAAGCTAAAGGCAAAGCAGAATCCACAAATGGGAATAACAGCTCCATATCTGGTGGTTCAACAGCATTTGGATCTGTGAAGTACTTTACTACCTCTGGAGGAAGATGATTGATCTGTTAGAACATATTCAGTCAATGAATCATACCAGAAACAATTGTTTAAGAACCAACAATGACTCCAGAAAGATACTAAAAGTATGAATCTGAATGCATCTTGAGATTAAAACCATTATGTTCAAAGTGTTCTGGAAATTAGCTAACCTGAGATGCAATCCCTAACTCCACGGAGGAGCCAATGGTTAAAAGGAACAACAAGAGGGCAATCACATATTGCCAAAGTGTTGTTGGCCCTGGCTCTGATGCCTCTTTCCATAGTAATCCAAAACTAACACGAGGCCCACCACGAGGGTCTGATGCTTCTGAATTGGGTTCTTCCACCATAAATAGATTGTATTTATCACCAGTGGCCTCAGCCAGCCGATTCTGCAGTTTGGCAAAAACATCTTCTCTGTTTCCCCTCAAATTTCCAAGGAAAAGAACGCCCTCACCAAGGTCTCCAAATGGCTCTTCCTTTGTTACCCAGAAGGTTGAATAACCAAAAAGCTTGTCCTTAATTAGCTTTACATCTGCTGGATCAACCTTTTCAGGTCCAAGAAGCTCCATCAGTTTAAAAGAGTCTACTTGGAAATTATTGTAAGCTGGTCCAACTGGAGATATGGTTGGTGGCTGACAAAGAGAAACACTGGCATGTTAAAATCAAAGTTACCATCATACTATACTAAATGTGTGTGTTTGCGGATCCCATTTTTGGCTATCATCTTTCTTGCAGTCGCACTTAACCCTGCTCATTACAAGTTTACAGCACACACAGAGGAGTAACACACAGTCATCTACATGCATGTGAGCATGCTTATATCCCATTTTTTACTGAAACCCCCACTATTAGAACACAGATAAAAATAGCACTTAATCATATGCATTTATGAATTTCTATGTATCCTTTTTTTTCCTATCAGTTTTCTTGCAAAGTTCTAGTGACCAAACTCATTAGCACATATAGGTGAAAGCATGATACATGTAAGCAAGAAGTGAGGCCATGCTATGTGTATTGATTGGCAGTAAGCCACGTAAAGGAAACAAAAAGGAATACAATGTGCCAAAAAAATGTCAAAAAAGTAAAAGCTCTGAACTCAGAAATTCCAGAACTCTCAGCTGAACTTCTCTAAATTCGACTGTTTTAAAATATGGACACGTACCACTACCCAAAAAAAGCTAGTGTTTTCAAAAGCATTTCCAAGTGAACAAGAATCAAACTTGTCTTCGTAATCCTGATCGAAAATGCTCCAAGTTCTACAAAAAGAGCAAATCTAGCCTAAATTTTGAAGAACTTCCACTTTATGGCACTAAGAAATCTTGCATTGTTGGAAATGCTTCTCTGAAAATTTGAGCAATTACAAATCAATCGAAATCCTGTTGCATTAAAAAAAAAAAAAATGAATGCTGAAATCCAATTCTAGTATTAGCTCTCTTACAGAAATCAATTAAAAACAGCCTGAGGTTTCCATACTTGCATTTCATCTTTTATAAAGAACCTCAAATCAACAAACCTAGTATCACCATACATGCATACATGTGAGACTCTCTGTTAGCAGTTATCATACTATTACTAATAACCAATGACATTATTAGCAACAACCGAGTTCCGTTTGGCGCAAACAAAAGCATCCCCAAGGTCACTCAAATTGCATTTCATTTTCAATCACAAAAAATCTCCATTTCATCATTCATTTGAATTCCACTTGCATTCATTTTCAATTCCACAAAAATCCCAAAGTAAAAATACCCCTAAATATCCTTCTAAGCAACATAAATCAACCACAATATATATATATATATATATATATATATATATCAAATTGAAACAAAATTTAACGAAACAAAGAAAAGAAAAAGAGAAATACCCGTGAAGAAACAGAAGCTTTTGCCTTATCCGAACCAAACTCATTGCTGCTGCTCTCTTCTTTCTCTTCAGGCGACGCCGTTTTCAGAATTGAATCCTTAACGCCATTCTCACTAACACTACCGTTCTCTACTACATCGTTTTCACTATCATGATTATTATTGTTATTATTAACACTAAAACACCTATTTTTACTAAAACTACTACTAAATGAAACCTCTCTCTTTGAAATTCCTCTATACAAAAAACACAAAGAGCTCTTGTTCTTCAATTTCTTGAGCTCAATTCTGTCCCTGAAATCTTTTCCAATAAGAGTAGAACGAAGCTTGAAATTCACTGTGCTAAAACTACAGCTCGTCAGAGTTCCCATCCAATAATAATAAAAAAAAAACCTGAAAATTTTTGATAAATTTATGTGTTTTTTGGATTTGGATTTTGTTATCAGACGAGATCAGAAAGAGCTTCTATATCTCTTCTTCTTTGCTGGGTATTTAAAAATATCATTTTAACTCCATGTTATTAAAGTTTTTTCTATGGATAAATATCTTTTGTTTTTAGTTTTTCCAACGTGGAATTTTGGGTTTCAGTCTTTGAGGAGGGTGGTTGGGTTATTATGGGCTGGGCCGGTAGCCTGGTAATGGAAGATGGATAAACCCTAATCTAACTGGGCTGGGTACTAAAATCATTAACCAAAAATGAATGAAGAAAAATATTATTTGTGGTGGATTAGGCCAAGCTCCAGCCATGTATTTGTTTCTGCAAAAGTGTTTTTTTTTTTTTTTCTTTTGGGCCGAAAACATCAATTAAATGCTTAACCATACATACATTTACATACATACATACATACATACATACATACATACATACATACATATATATACATACATACACACACATACATATATATATATATATATATATAGCAATTCAAAACACTGCAAACGCATGTTGACGTTTGGTTTGGCCTCTAAGGGAGCATCTATGCTTAGCAAAGACGCAAACACGCAAATAATAAAAACCACAAAACGCCGCGTTTAAAGACCTATAAATGCTTTTAACATCCTTCTCCAGATTGCATGATTCAAAACGCGCTTTCACTGCTTTTGTTAACAGAGACACGGAGAGAGAGAGAGAGCAGCAATGGTCTCCTCTTCTCTTCCTCCTCCTTCTCTTCTACTTCTTTTCTCTTTGATATTTGCTTCCTCTGTATTCCTCTCACGTGCCACTCACGAGACTGCTCTCAAAGGTACTTGCTCACTTTTGATATATCATCCATTTTTTCTTGCTCGCTTATTGATTGATTGTTTTGATCTCTTGTGGTGTTGTCCTATATTTGGCTTTGTACAAACAAACTTTTAAATTAAACCGCATGTGATTGTTGGGTTTTCTTTTTCTGAATTTTTTGTAGCTGAGGCTGCTGGCAATTGAAATCGAGACATTATATTTTAATGTCTTTTTTCTTTGGAGTAAATGGGTTTGTTAGGGTTTGATATTCTGGCTGTGTAGCATAGTGAAGTGAAAATGATTGGAACCAGATTTATTTTAACAAAAAATCTATATATTATTTCTGGGGTTTTGTCAGATATCAATTTATTAATGGAGTTCTGTTAAAATCACTATAGATAGGCAAAAACATTTGCCTTTGATAAAGGAATGTTGCTCTATTGTAGCTGAATAGGTGTCTTTATATTTTTTTGTGTGCCCTTTGAGTTTTGGAAGGTTTAAAGAGATTTGAAATTTCTTGATATCGTAAACTTGAAAGAAATCTTATCTCGGGGTTGTTTTCTGCCATTCTTCTCTTGAATTTTAGACATGATTTGAAATTGAGGGTCTGTTTAGGTAGTTCTAGTATGCCTTAGTGCTGTTTCATTGATATATGTTTTCCTTGATGTGATTGAGAGCATTTGTTGGAAGTCTTAAATCTTCTCACTTTAAGTGATTTTTTTTTTTTTTTTTGAATGATTGATAATTAATAATGCTTTCGGCAATTACAGGCATTGACCCTGAGAATCCAGCTCTGAAAGTCACTCCGTCCCACTTGAACGAGCATGTGTTTGGCCATGATGGTTCTAAAGATGTTTTCTTTTGTGAACGAGTTAAAGTTTCTGGTCATTCCAGATGGACACTCAGTAGTTATGCTAGTTCATTTCGAGTTACTTTGGATCAATATGCGGAAATCCCGGAGAGATTGCATAGCAAAATTCAGGTTTGCTTCCACCGGTAAGTGAATTTCTTGAATATTTTTTGCTCTCTTTTTCTCCCTGAATTTGATAAATGTCCTATTACAGAATGAAAATATTATGTCTCATCCATGAGTCTTGCAGGAATGCTTCCCTTGGATTATGTCAGTGTGAAAAGGATGATTGGAGAACTGTTCAGAAGGGGCTGTGGAGATCTGTCATGTCACCTTATGAGGAGAGATATGTTGATGTAAAGTTCATTAGTGATACTTCTGAATATGTCTCAATTGCTGTTGATGAAGGTTTGCTTTTCCCTTGTTACCTTTTGTGTTTGGTTTTTCACACTGTATTTAAATTTCCTTTATTGGTACTGGTTAATTGATGTTTGTGCAGATTTACAGCAATGGCGACTCCTGTGTCTAGCAGCTGGATTTGTTTTACTATTGCTAGCACCAATTGTCAGCAGTTGGGTTCCCTTTTATTATAGCACTTCAATGGCTATTGGAGTTTTTCTTGTCATTATAATCCTTCTTTTTCAGGTACATAGTTTGGTTTTGTTGCTTTGAGATCTTCCTCCACCTCCTTCAATTTTTTCTCTTTGCCAACACATGTATCACCAGATTGGTTCAAAATGCATAACCTAAAAACAGTTTAAGATAAGAATTTCTGAGCATTGTTGTTATTCACTTATTTGAATTTTTGGTTAAGGTCCCATATGTGCCAATATATGCCTGATTGAGTTGTAAATATATACTAATAGATATAGAACTCGTTTATGTCCCAAACATATTTTCTTCATCGAATGGGCTCAGTTGCATTCAGTCTGAGTTGAAACTAGGGAAAATTGACCCTCGTTGTGTTGATTGTTCTACCCAACACACACCATCCCAAATGAGGCCTGTGCACCTAGAGCTTATAATGGAAGGGGCTTGGTTGCATTCAGTCTGAGTTGAAACTAGAGAAAATTGGTCATCCTTGTGTGGATGGTCCTACCCAATGCGCACCAACCTCAATGGGACCTTTACACCTAGAGCTTATAATGTAAGGGGCTCAGTTGCATTCAGTCTGAGTTGAAACTAGAGAAAATTGGTCATCATTGTGTGGATGCGTGCACGAAACTAAATGGGACCTGTACACCTAGAGCTTATAATGGAAGGAGATCGCTATGATGTTTTGTTAGCTAAGCCAACTCGTTTTAGGGACTCAGGTTGTAGGTAACTGCATTTGCATGCATGGTTTATCTTGCAACCTGCTTGTGACAATGGATGTTTAATGGCATTCTCGTGAATTTTCAAAATCAAATTCGCTAAATTATTTTTCAATCCATAATTTTGTTATTTCACGTCACTTATTTTTGGCTGTTTGTTATCAACATATAATGTCCAAGAAAAAAAATTTGTTCTACATCTTTTAAGCTCCATGGGATTTTGATGCTAAAACTAATAGATGTTGTCAAGAGGTTGACCATGTAGAGTTTGATCATCACTTGAGATTCAAGAAGGTGCTACTTAGGCTAGTTTTCAGTTTCTGTGCCTTGATCTATTTGTTGGAAATAAGTAGGAATGTAACAGTTTTTTCGTTTTTTGGCAGTTAACACAGCACTTGATAATGGTGTTTAGGGACATGATTTTCAAATTGCATATCTTTGTAACTTTGATTTTGGTTTTGTTATAATTTATTTAGGTCATATTACTGATATACCTGAATGTTAATATGCTCTCAATATTTGCAAGTTTCCATTCAATGCCTGCAGTTTTGTGATTACATATTTCATTTTAGCTTTTCGGCTCATCATTGTGTAGATAGACTTATTATGTTCTTCTTTGCTTTAATTTTCCAGGGAATGAAATTGTTGCCAACTGGAAGGAAAAATATTTTCTATCTTTCCATTTATGGATCAGTGGTGAGTTTGCTTTTAACTTAATCTTTAAGTTCCAATATCTTCTTATCATTACTCCACTCTTCCTCCCATTTTTTAGATAATGTTCTTTTTTCCTTTATCTAGGATGCATGACTATCTCTTTATGCATTTCTGTTGCAGCTTGGAGCTGGCACTTTTATTTTACATCAAATTTCAACACTGGTAAATTCGGTTCTTGTCAACTTTGGGCTGAGTGAAGAGATGCACAATCCTGTAAGTCTTTCTCTTCATGGATTTTTATGTGGAGTTTTATAGAGTACTTACAGTTACAGGTTCAAGGGAATCAATGGTCTAGAACCAGTCCTGCAACGAACTCTCATCTCATCTTCCCAGCGCTTCCATATAGATACTGCATTAATATGTAGATGCATGTAATTTTTTATTTTATTTTATTTTTTTTTGTTGGGGGGGGGGGGGTTGGGTGGCACCTGAAGCCATTATCCGCAAGCTACACTGTATGTTCTCACATGCTTTTCGGGACACACATTGGCATTACTTCTTGTTTGACAGATTTGATTTATTTTAATAATATTTGAAATTTTGATTTAAAAAAAGAGAGACATTTTTCACTTAATTCACAATCCCTTTCTCTCAATGTACTTCTAAAAAACAAAAGGAGGGAGGAACCAATTGTGTGCATGTGATCCTTTTTACAATATTATTCCTCACATGAAATTTATTCTCTATTCGCTTCTTCTTAAGCATTATTTCTGACCTTTCCCTATTTCACGACAGGTCTACATATTTGTATTAGTAGGGATTGTTCTTGCAGGAGCTGGTTTAGGGTACTGGATGGTGAGGAAATTTGTAATCTCAAAGGATGGAAGCGTGGATGATGGTGTAGCTCAGTTTGTTAAATGGGCAATGCGCATTATTGCATCCACCTTTATTTTCCAGGTATGACAGACATACATTCATACTGATTTCATCGCTTGATATAAGTGGCACCCATAGTAAGCATGCATGATGATGGTATAGATAACGAACCTCACCAATTTACAATGAATACCCTCCTTTTGGTGCATGGATATGTCTTTTATGCCCGCCACAGATACTGTTTTGTGAGGAAATAAAAAAGAGGGGGGGGGGGTGGGGTGGGAGGGTTGGCCTTAGCGCATGGAACATAGAAAAGCTTGAGTAGAAGATTTTTTTTTTTTTTTTTGCCCCTAAGCTTCATAATCACCAGGGGAAATTTTTGTTGGGGTAGATAGAATTTACTGCAGGGACAATGATACAAGCTTCAATCGGTTAACTAGACCTCTCTTTACTACCTATTTAAAGGTATCCACTTCTCTGTTTGACAAGAGAAAGTGAGAGAATGATAATTGGTTATCTCTGGCTTGCTTCTATGGCATGATATTCACCAAGTTACTATATTTATTGGACTAAGAATCTTATATTGGACTAGGTAATTCCCGAGTTGACTTTGTTCGATGTTAGCCAGCCCCTTCAGATCATGTTAGATAAATCAGACTAGGTCTTGGGTTGTGTACTTATGTTGGTTGAAAGGTGAACTTGTCTATTCAGTTTTATGCTGTGCTGAATTCCACTGTGGCCAGTTCACCTTAGTTTCAGCCTTGTGAAGGCAATTTTTGTATCCTTCCAATAATTGTTGGCCGTAGTTGTTTTTCTCCAACATTAGGATTAGATGAGTGTGATTTTGGTACTTCTCTTCGCACTCCAGAGTCATATTTCACTGCCTCGGCAGCCTATATTGTCATTCTGTTAAACTCTTCTAGTGCATTATTAGTTTAGCTTTTTTCTTCTTAGCTCATTTATCCGCTAATGTGAGTAAAGTAATTTTCTTGTACTTATTTGAAGGGGAAACTTCTGTTTGACAACATTTTTTGAATGATGACTGATGTGTGACCTTTTCTTTCTCAGAGCACTCTGGATACTCCTTTAGCAATGGCCGCCTTGGTTTCTTCATTTGCAATCTCCTCTCTTACTTTGAAGTGGTGGTATCGAATGTAAGTCTAATTTTCCTTTACCTACCTGCTGTTTTGTTGTACTGTTGTTTTGAAGTGGATGCATTCTGCTAAAAGGATGGTAATTCTGTATCAAACTAGTGTTTGGGATCCAAACCAAATTAATGGTCCTGTGAAACAATGTTTAGTAACTTATCTAGATTGTGCTCACAATGGTCTAAAGAAAAATTAATTGGATGGGTGATCATCACGACCCTTGTTTATGAAGTTTAATGAACAGATGCGGAATTTGACCAATGTCATCCTGACATCTATAGTAGAGCTTTAGAAATTGTTAGAAAACAAAGGTGAACTTTGACTTGTTTCAGATGGTATAAAAGAAAGTTGTATTAGTGTCTGTTTGTAAAGTGCTTTTGCAAAACTTACTTGTTTGTATTTGTTCTAAATATTTCACTTCATGTATTTGTAGTTTAGTATTCAACTTCAGCAACCAACTATGATTTCATACAGTGATCAATCAGATTATTGGTGTGGGAATGCTTGGCACCAACCTGCAGGACAGGCAACAGCAAGATATAGACGTGCTGAATTCCTTAGCAGGACAGGAAAAATGAGCCCCCGGGGGAAGATGTGGACCAGCCCAAAAAGCTCATTTGCTTGGACCAGCTCCCCTGTTAAAGGTAAGCGTTACGGACTGTGATACAGTAACATGATTTGAACACACAAACTGGTAACACATAAAATATGGGCCATTCGATTAGAATCTTTTTGCTTATTTTGCCCTTATCCTTCAAGTTTATTTTAGCCCTAGGCTATGGTACTGAATATGAAACAATCCCTAAACTAACAATTTACATCAATATGACGAAATCAGATTCAAATTTGAAACAATAGTTGTCAATTGTAAATATATTTAACCAAATGGGCATAAGAAAAAATTAATTCAATGAATTAAGAGATCCAAGATATATGAGCGTAATTCTTTCTTTATTTTTTTTAATAGAAAAAACCTGATTATGATTAGTTATTGATATATTTAGCAAATTTACACAAACAAAATTGAATGTCAACAATTGTATCTTCCTCCTTTTTCCATTTTTGAAAATTAAAGATTTAATTGCACACTTTATAAACTAAACAACAAAACTAAGAGGTACATGAATATTTTAGACTACACTGACAAAAATGGTTATTTATTTATTTATTTATTTATTATTATTTTGGTTTAGGACCTAATCACAATCACAAAATTTAGGGATAAAAATATAATTGGCTTTTATGTGTTGTGGGTTCATGTCACTATCACTGTGGCTTTTTCCTTACTTTATTTTGCTTATTTTCTTTTTTTATACTTTTACATATGTTTTCTGGCGCTGTTTATTTTGCTGCTATCAACCATCTCTACATCAGTTTGGTAGTTCACATCTCATGTATGTGCTAGTTCTTGCATTATGCATTTATCTTTATTTAAGCAAAAACTGAGATGGTTCATCCCCCCCCCCCCCCCCCAAAAAAAAAAAAAAAAAAAACCTCTGATAGGTACAATTGATATCATCTGTTCTGGCACTTTCCTTGCTCAACCTAAAAGATTTATGGCATAAGAGAACTGGCTCCTAACTGTTCATGGCCTTGCATTCTGTTATAAAATATTTTAATGCTTCTAATATGGATGATATGTGGGTTCATGTATCTTATTAGGTCATTCCTTAACTAATGTTTTTGGGACATTCAGCAAGGTGCTGAATCTTTGTCATTTCTCAGCCATCCAGCATAGTGTGATTTGCTTTTCTTGGCGTTGGCAGGTTTGGTATCACCATCTTCTCATTCGGCAACAACAGATAAGCAGAATTACTATTCAACCTTCCACAGCACACCAAAGCGAAAGAAGTTCACAAAGAAACAGTGGGAGGATTTCACCAGGGAATCAACACGCCAAGCTCTATCGGAATGGGCAGCATCACCGGAAGTTGCCAATTGGATCATTGAGAATGCTGACCGAATTCAACTCCATCCAAGCGATTGTAGTTCAGAAGAAATGGTGGAAAGCGAATCAGACTCCACAGATGAGACTGTTGCGGGGAGTGGCAAGCCATTTAGGTTTTTTAACTGGTAGTGACTGGACTAGAAAAAATTCAGGGATCTGCTCTTTAGATTGTGTAGGGAGGGGGCAATAGTTTAGGAATGTAGTTTGTTGCATCATTAATAAACACCAACAAGTCGAATGGCATTTTTTCTAGGATTAGCTAACCATTTGACTCACTGTTCGTTTTCAGAACTAATCAATGTCATCTCCAAAAGATATGTAAAGTTACTTTTCTACACCTGATAGGTGAAAGTTGCTGACCGAAAAAAGAAAAAAGTTCAATACGTAAATAGAAAAAAAAACAAAAATTAAAGATCTATCATTATTGAGTAAATTATAAATTAATTTCTCTAGTTTCAATAAATAAATTAATTAGTTTTTTTTGTTTCAAAATCTATTTTTTAGGATTTTAATTAGTATTGATAACATTTAATTTAATATTATTTTTTCATTAAATTTTTTATTTTTTCATTAATATTTTCATATTTTTTATTTTTTCTATTTCTTAAAATAAAAAATTAAAAATAATAAAAAAATTAAATTATAAGTAAATTTTAAAACATAAAGATTAAATAGTTAGTTTTTAAAATAAGAGGGGTTAATTTATTTGTTTATAAAAATAAGGACTAATTTATAATTTACTCTTCTTTATTTGATGAATGATACTTTAAAATCAATTTGTCAAGAAATTGTTAGTGTTTGAAGAACAACAAAATATGTCAAATCTTCTTATTTAAGTTTCTAACCGAAGCTCCAAAATAATTGATAACGATCTTGTCTTGTCCCAACTTTTGACAAGGGGACCTATTATCACCCCCATCACCATGAAGGCCCCACCCCTCATATAAATTAACTTTCCATCATCTTCGTTTTCCATTCCCCACCCCACTCTTCAAAAATCAAATACAGAAGAAAAAACGTCCCTTCCCTTTCCCTCAATTTCCCAGCACCCAAACACTCTTTCTCCTCTCCCAATGCCACCACCCACCCCCACCTCCCCACTACCGCCATGCATATCCCGGACCTCCTCCCTCTCGGTAACAGAAACAGTAAATGGGTCCCACAAATTCACAATCCAAGGCTACTCATTAGCCAAAGGAATTGGTGTAGGCAAACACATAGCTAGCGAGACTTTCACTATTGGTGGTTATCAATGGGCTATTTATTTCTACCCAGATGGGAAAAACCCTGAAGACAATTCCTCTTATGTCTCTGTTTTTATCGCTCTTGCTAGCGAAGGCACCGATGTTCGAGCCCTTTTCGAGCTCTCCTTGATTGATCAGAGTGGTAAAGGCAAACATAAAGTTCATAGTCACTTTGATCGCTCCCTTGAGAGTGGGCCCTACACCCTCAAGTATCGAGGCAGCATGTGGTAAGGGAGTTTTGGGTTTTGTTTTTCTGGGTTATTTTTCGTTGTCTTATTTATTAAAACTTCTCTTTGTATTTTCATTTCTTTTTCTTTTGATTTTTGGAGTTGGGTTCTTATTTTTAGCTGTGAATTAGGAAGCGTTGAAAAATTGAAAAATTTTGCAGAATTAATTGCATGACAAATAGGGATATTTATATAGGTTGCTGAAGTAGAGTGATTAAATTAAAGTAGAGTTTGTTTGCAGGCGGCTTGAAGTGGTTTATGAGTTTTGCTTGCTTGTATGAATGAAGTTCCGGGGCCATCTGATTGTGGGCCCCCTTTGGGACACGCAGATGAGACCCTGCTAATTATATATGGTGGTTGTTTTTCATCGTCTCCATTCGGTGGTTAATTTATGGGATAAAAGCTTTTCGGTGATTTGTAGCTCTTCTATACTGGTGGAGGGTTTTTATGTTGTTTCATTTATGATTTTGAATTTAATTAGGTGTTGTTTTCCTTTGTTTGAAATGGAATATTAGATTAGAATTTGATAAAAATAGGCGTGTTTCTAAATTTATGATAGAGAACATCTGAAGGTTGAAGTGATCTATAGATCTTTTACTGGTAAAATTTTGAGTGTTTTTGCTTTATTTCCTTTTATTTTGCTGGAATTGGTTATTATTGTATGGAATGGTTTCTGTTGCTATAGGTAAATTTGGACTATTTTCTTTTCAGGGGGTACAAGCGATTCTTCAGACGGGCAATGCTTGAATCATCGGATTTTCTGAAAGATGATTGCTTGAAAATTCACTGTACTGTTGGTGTTGTGGTCTCTGCAATTGATTACTCGAGATTGCACTCTATAAAGGTCCCTGAATCAGACATCGGAGACCATTTTGGTATGTTATTGGAGAACGAGGATTGTTCTGATATCACTTTTGATGTGCAAGGGAAAAAGTTTCATGCTCACAAGTTGGTATTGGCTGCTCGGTCTCCTGTATTTGAAAGTGAACTTCTTGATGCAATGGAGGAAGATAATAACACAGTAGTTATTTCTGATATAGAACCTAAAGTTTTCAAGGTATCATTTCTTGACATAGTTTTGCTTTACCTTAAGAAAATGAATTATATGGAGGCATGCAATTTACTCCAAGCATTGTTATTTATGGGGCATTTGTGACAATTATTTGTTCTAAGGTTACGTTATTGATACACAAATACAACTTAAGAAGGTTTTCTTTACACATAAGCACAATATCAGACAAATAATTGAAAATTTGCCAAGTTAGATTAAAATAAACTACTGATCCCCATCTATAACGCATAGAATTGAGTTTCTAATGAGGATGAATGTTTATTTTGATTTTCTTTTGGAGGCACAAAGGAAGATAATTTTAGAAGAATCAAAAAATGAAAAAATACAAATTTTGACAATAGGAGAATGAGACATCCTTTGAAAAACAACCTATCAAAACAAAAGATCTTCTCAGTCCTGCTGTTTATCAGCCAAGCTTCATCTGCTGGACAGCACAAAGAAGCTAAAATCACTGTTTTATCTCATGAAAGCTGCTTAGACAGGAATTGATTATTGAAAATTCTGTACTTCTGTTTCATCCTCTCTTAACAACAGTAAAAATAGAGTCCTTCCTGAGAATCTTACAAATCTTTGTTCTACCCAACTCTAGAAAGCGCATTACTAACAAATCCTCCACTTGTTGTAGGGATATCCATGATTCTCCAATCACCACTGTAGCAAAAAGCTTATTCAGATAGTCAATGTTTGCTTGGCCTTTCTTACTTCTGATAAATCATTATTGATGTCCCTTGAAGCTTTGAAACCTTTTGATTTGATCTCAAAGGGTGCTGATTGCTGAATGGAGCTGAGGATCTGAATAACAAGAGAAGATTCTTAAATTGACCATTTCCCTCTCATTGACGTTGTTGAAGATACATATAAGATTCATATGGGAATGTTAAAAAAAAAAAATGTGACTAAGAATGCAAAACTTAGTCTAAAATACAAGAGGATGTGAAATTTAAGCTGTGAAATGAATTTTGGTAATATAAAATTAAAAAAAGTTGGATATCAAATGTAAAGTGGCCAATTGTACTACATGTTTGGCCTATGATTGGAAAAAAAAATGCTTGGCCTTGCTTTTTAATTTCTTCTTGCATGTTTATGTGTCCAGGCTTTGCTGCATTTCATTTACAAAGATACTCTTATGAAAGATGAGGAACTTTCTGCATCAAGTTCAACTTCCATGCCATCTGTATTCGACACATTAACTGCAAAATTGTTGGCTGTAGCAGATAAATATGATTTACCTAGACTTAGACTTATGTGCGAGTCTGTACTCTGCAAGGATATATCTGTGAGTTCTGTTGCCAAGATTCTGGCCCTGGTCGATCGTTACCATGCTATGGATTTGAAATCTGTGTGCCTAAAATTTGCGGCCGAAAATCTCGTAGGTATGTTCTTGTTTGATTTCCATTTTTTTGAGACTTCTATATTGAATAATTTGAACACTAGTTTTTGCGAAGTTCTAAAGCGATATTTTTTGGTTGATTATATTTTCACTTACATGAGGTCATATGTGATTAATTGACTGGCCATTCTTGGACATCCATGGTATAACTTCTGGTAGTATTGAGTTAGTCCATCTTGTGAAATGAACTTAAAGACATTTGTATGTTTGTGGCCAGTTCTTTTTATAATATCAGCAGATGGCTTCAGAGTCATTTGTTCTGTTATTGTATTGTCTTTTTTGCCAACTACTGGAATGGGGACTTGTGGCTTAAAGTTTTCAACTCCGGTTTTCCCTCATCATTGTTGACTTCTATAGGAGGTGAAGTCAATCTTTATGGAGGCGTCTACTGAACTTGACTAATTTTTTTGTTGTCATTTTTATTTTTGACTTTCATATACAAAGCACCTGACTGTTTCTTATATATGTGAAGCGTGGGGGTGGAGAGGAACAGTCAGTTTTTAACTTTTTATGTGCTTAATTGTTGAAGTGTATTAGATGACAAGTAACCATATACAACCTCTTAATCATAACCAAGTTTAGATTGCTGTGCATGAAGAATATATTACTTCAATTACAAAATAGCATGGTTGTATAGAACTAATTCTTATCCATTCCTGTGGTGATAAAAGAAATTTCTTGTGAAGGAACAGTCTTTGCTGTTTGAGAAAATTAATTCATTACTCTGCTGGGATGTATAAAGGTCTATTTCTTTCCTTGCGTAGATGCATGTCTTTGTTTGTGTACGTGTATAGAAAGAAGAGGGGTTGTTCTAAGCTGTATCTGGTGGCCGAAAATTCTAGACAAATTCCAGGCTAACCAACTGACTTAGATGTAGGGTAAATTATCTCTTGGAATTGATGCACATACATGTATGCAATAAACTATAAATAAAGCCAACATATTTTTAAATTTTAAGCTAGTCTGAAGTGTGCTGGGGATGAAGTTAGAAGCAACAGCAAATATTTAAAACCTACATACTTATTGATTATGGCATTTCAAATTGAGTTATCACAACTGATTTATCAGTCCTTGGCAGAAATTATACAGTCCTTAAGTTGTATGCAAAGGCACTTTATTAGAATTGTCGAATTTTTATTTCCAAAAAGAACCCTGCATAAAACAAATAATTGCCATGGAAAAAACATAGCTTGAATGAGGACTGTATTGCACATCACCACGTCTAGGAGCTTGTTGGTTTGGGGTATGATGATAGAAAGAAACAGACTTCATGGGTGTTAAGTAATGGTCACGGCTATCAATGACGTGAATCATTTGTAATTCTAAAGAATTTTAGTAATACATGGGTTTTAAATAATTTCTCTTAATATATGCAACAATTAGACTTCGAATAGCTAAATGTCAGATGAACAATACATTATAGCTATATAAAGAGTGAAGTGTGAAAATATGGGCTAGAATACAAAAACAATCAAACAATTATATTAGTAAGTAGACTGTTATTAGGCTATTATTGACCAGTTATTTTCAAAATAATGCCCAACAGTGGTTGTTACCTTTGTATAATGGCATTATAGTCTTTGTTGTTGTAAATGGTTGGTAAGGACACTATAACACTGAAAGACAGTAACATGGCTCGCTGAATCTGTTAAATAATGGAATTATTTAAAACTGTGAGAAACGTAAAAAGTTTTTGTCAGATATTCTTTCACAGATGATTTTATTTTATCCACAATACTAACCTTATGAAATTTCCTTATACTTAATCTGCTAGTTTTAAGATTTCTTTTCTTTCTTTTCCATTAATTAACCAATAGGATATGTTATTTACCTTTTTTGTCCTCCAAAACATTGAGAGTGGTCTCTTTCCGTCTCAAGGTCCTGTTTTCCCTGACTGCCTTATGGGTGGAGGGAGAGAGCAGGAATTATTATTATTATTATTTGGTGGGGGGTGTTGGGTGTCCATAGATTCTTCAATTTTCTTCTTACTAAACTTCAAATGCTCAACAAATACTTCTATCTTTTGCAAAATCTGCTAGATTACTTTTCTGTGCTTAACAAATGCTTTCAAGTTTTCGTCCTAAACGACCCTGTCTAAATTGAGTATGTTTTTTAGTTTACAAATTGGGAATGTTTCCATATTATCCCTCTGCCCCTGCAGCCCCAACATTCATCTGTGCGTACACACTCATACTAAATAGCAGGTCTCATTTTGCTATACTTTAATTTTCTCTCTCTATGGAACACAAAAAATCCTCATTGAATTATTACAGTTTACTTCTAAATTGGGTTACGATCCATAAGATATCCAGAATTAAATTATTAGCTTACTTTTAACCAAATTGCAATGAATGAAGGAAAATCCAGTACTGTTTTCCTTGTCATAGCTAATTCGAGAAATTTATTAGTAGTTGCATGTTATGATTGCCTTATTGATGCCCATTATCTTAGAACATAAAATTTAAATTTAGTTGGAGAAACTAACTGATCAAATGAAAAATCATCTCATGAAGCTCTGTTTCCTATGGTTATTTCTTCAAGGATCCTTTGATTGTACATTGGATATAGATTCATGTCTTTCTTGTTGTGTAGACCAATTCTTATGTGTCCCTTTTATTATTATGATCTTCTTTTTTGATGTCAAAGATCAGAAGTTATTCTCTCTTCTTTTTTTTTTTTCCCCTGTTATCCTTAACAGCAACAAGTCAACAACTCTTAATTTTTCGGTTATTGCTACTAGTCTTTAACAAGGTGTGAATTCTTGAAATAATGATCTGAATGAAAACTGTGTCATAAGAAAAATTCCTCATGGATTCAAGAAGCATACTAGTGGATTCAAGGGAGTAGCTTTGTCAACTATAGGTTTATCCTTCCTTCCCTTTGTTCTACTTCAACACAAGGTTGCTAATAGAGCAATAACCAATAATGCTTATCCAAGCCATAGGAACATGTATATATAGGCAGACCAAAATCTTCGAGAGTTATAACTAAAATAAGAAGTTAAATCCTAACATGTATAACTCCCTACCAATCTAATAACTGTTAACCCCACTTATTGCAAATACTACAAGACAGATAATTAAATCATAATGAAGATACACGATCAATAAAATTACAAATAATTTGAAAATGATGGTCTCTATTGTACTGCATCAAGTATCTTTTTGTGAACATTTATAGAAAAATGAAAAAATAGAAAGTTTTAGCATTCCCAACAACCCCTAACTTTGTGTATATTTTTATGCTGCGTATATGCATCTATATTTCATTCACACATGCATTACATATGTAGACGCTTTGGTGCCTCTCTGAGAACTCCCTAGCTCCATCACCGTCCTTTGCATTTCTTTCCATCCAAAACTACCAACTGATTTTCTAGTTCATTGGATCAACAATTGCTTAAAAAAAATTAAACTGCTGGTTTATTTGTTATTTATAAAGTTTATGTTCTGAATCTAATAGGGGAAAAAATAAAATATATAATCTCAGCCTGTGCAAGGAAGTATTTAATTTATTTTCCTTTCAATAAGTGCATGCGTGGTGGGACTCGAACCTGCAGTCGCCTGATTAGGAGTGAAGCACCGTACCCATTAGGATACTGTGCTTACTTATTTGTACAAGGCAAATTAATAATTCCTATATATGTAGTTGTATAGGTTGGCAAAAGGTGCATTTTCATTGCTTTAAAAAGTAGTCATTTCCTCTTCCTTTTTTTTTCCCATTTAAAAAGCAAATAGCTAAAGAGGAATTAAAAAGAAATATATGTTGGCTAATGAATCTGTAGATTATTTTGTGTTCTGGCTATTTTTCAGCCACCAAAAAATTAAGCTATGTTTTCATTGCTGAAGTTAGTTGTGTTGTGTGATTTCTGGGTATAATATATGTTGGCTAATGAAATGCCACGTATTCACCTCTGATAAATTCATTGAGCCCGTTATATGGATGGGTGATGATGTAATTAAGAAACTGACTTCAGCACATTTTTTTGCCTAGGAATTCTTTTGTGCAGGAGGTCCCAAAGTTATTCGGTACCTGCAACAGGATTGGAGCTTACGGATTTTATTGTTTCTCAGCTTTTTCTTGGTTTAATCACTCATTGATTTGCCTTTTCTGATTACATAATTGGATGCAGCTGTAGTGGAGTCTGATGGTTTTGAGTATCTCAAAGAGAGCTGTCCAGTGCTGCAGGCCGAGCTCCTAAAGGCAGTGGTGGGATGCGAGGATGATGTCAGTGGATCAGTTGGAAAGAGCCGAAGCGTTTGGGGGCAGTTCTCGGACACAGGGGATACAAATGATAGGAGTATCAGGCAACGCTGGGAAAATGGAGGGGAAAGTAGCCAAAACTTGTGGGCTCAACCTGATAATGGCAACGGAAGGAGTCCAAGGCAAGAAGAGTGACTTTAAACTAACCTTGTTTTGTATTTTGACAATGGTGGAAAGGGCTGTGGGAAAGAAAGCGGCAATGAAATAGGAAGACAAAGGGTCGGTATGGAAACATTGTCCCAGTGATAGATTTTTTTTTTTTTTTTTTTTTTTTTTTTTTGGAAATATAGGGAAAAGATAGTTTAGTAAGAACTTGTAATTTATCCAATGATTTGTCTACAGGAGGAGGATATTTTCTAATATTCTTCTACCTGTGAAGTTCGTATAAAACTAAAATAACAGTAAGACTGTTTGTTTGTTATTGTAAAAATGAGAGACAGAAGAAAGAGCAAAAAACCAACACATCAAATTGATAGTTTTTAATATTGCTTTCAAGGGAAACGGTTTGATTATTATCAACTTAACAGCCAAACCTACTTCACAAAAGTGTATCTTGATAGCAAGAAGATTAAAGGCTAAGGTGCAGAAGGGACTTTTGTAGTCGATCCTTCTGAGAGACTACGTGTATTTGCTAAAGTGGATAAATGCCACCTAAAAAGATCCCGTCTACCAGGATGGGAACACCAAACCCTTAAAGACAGAAGTCAGCAGCAAAACATTAGATTATGAAAATATGAACAGAAGTCGTCCATGAAATAATAATGAAAATAAATAAACCTCAACCTCGTTTAGCTGCTTTACATGGAGCATAGTCTTTAGGGGTTTAAGTTTGTTATTAGAACTCAGAATCCCTAACGCTATAACTTTCTTAATGGTGGCTTTCTTGTATGGAGTTATCCTCGACCTTTTGCCTTCTCAAAAGATGATTCACGACTCTCTGTAAGTTCGGCATGACTTGGGAAGAAATTAAGCAAACCATGCACCCACCAAACCATCTCCTAAATTGGATGGAGCCCTTATTCGGTCGTAAAGGCTTCACTCTATTTTATTGGCTGTATGAAGTTTCTTCTAAGCTAGTAATTTTGTACCCTGCAGAGTGCACATTGCTTGCTGAACCGTACTTGATAAACCTTTTTTTTTTTTGTTAAATATTCCATCTGGACTCTGGAGTGTTCTGTTTCACATACCAGGCCATCCAGGTCGAATGTAGTTGTTTATGCTAGTAGCTCCACTCCTTATTGGAACAGTCGGCTAGGTTGGGATTCTGTTTCCAAAGGAACTTTCTAAGAAAACCACTTTCAAATTCAGTGGATTCTTATATATATATATATATATATATATATATGTTTGTGCCGTAACACGTTTTGAGGATCTTCAAACTTTTTTTTTTTTTTCTTTTGCCCTTTTGATTTGATGTTTATATTTCGACCTTCTTTATCAATTCTGATCACATAACCATTAGTTCTTATCCTTTCACATTAGGTTCTAATTTTCAATACTACTGGATTAAAGTATGTCTCCAGCGGTTTTTGGCCCCATACCTAGAGATGAAATATCGTGCTTTAGTTGCATTTTATAAGATTTCAAGTTTCCTTTTATCTTGTTGGATTTCCTTTGATTTCCCTTTAGATGTCTGATTTCGTTTATAAGCTTTGGTTGCTAATGCTCATCTTCTGCTTCTAAAGTTTTTTTTTTTTTTTAATGATGTATGTTATCTTCTCTTTTAATTAAGAGTTTCTTTTTTAACTATTTATTTTACGTCATACTTTAAGTAATAAATCTGCATTCTAATTTTATTTTGCAGCAATTCCAAGTCTACAAACCGCAGGTAGGCTGTGCGTTATATGATTAAATGCAGATGATGCACAATGGATATTAAACTCACTATTGGTAAATACAACTTTACTTTTTGGGATATCTACTTGCTTTTTCAGTTTGATAAAACAAGGATTCAGTTATAACTTTAATAATTAAAGGATCAAAATGTAGTTTGGCATTTTTGTTTATTAGATCTGTTTTATGAGTCTGTATTATTATAGCTTTTTTCTTATTTCAAGTTTTTCTAAGTCGTCATGGTGAGACAGATTTAGTTAAAAAAGTAACTTGTATAACTGCCAACACTTTCTTTTGTTTTACCAAGTTTACGGAAAAAATTGAGTAATTGAGTTTCTTCATTTTATTGTAGTGAATTATTTCAAAATTGGTCCTGTGATTTTTCTCTGTGATTGAGAGAGTTTTCCACATAAATTTTATGTGTTTTTGTAATTGATTTATTTTCTGCACTTAATCGTGGTGGGTGTTTGGCTTGATTATTTTCTTAAAAAATCTAATTTATACGAAGTGATATTAAATTTCTAACAACAATATGAAAGTCTGAGATTGGAATATTTATGTAAATTAGATGAAGAAAAATAATTCAAGAACCATTATCAAATTGACGACTTTGAATTATTCGATTTTTGAAATTTGATAATGGAGGATTTACTTTATTACCATGATTTATTTATTCGAATAAATTAGGTAAAGTAAAACCAAAAGGCAAGATTAATGATGCTTGGAAAAAAAAAAAAAAAAGCATAAGAAGGTTACTGGAGCTATCACAAAGTGAGTGGACGATAATGTGTTTCACCATATCTTTTTTTTAAAAAAAAAAAAAAGACATCCAAGAACCATATAAAAAATTAGAGAGTTTATATAAAAAAAGATTGTATAGAATAAAGTTTCTATAATTAGAAAGCTTGTGAGTTTAAAATACGGATATAGAAGGTATATTGTTGAATATTTAAGTGACTTTAAAGATTTGATTAATCAATTGATAACTATAAAAATAGTGTTAAATGATAAGTTACATGTATTGTTGTTATTGAGAACTTTGCCATACGGTTGAGAAACTTTGATTATAACACTTAGTAATTATATTTCGAATAATGTTTTTTCATTATCTATAATTAAAGATAACTTGTTTAATGAAGAAACAAGACTAATCAAAGTGGTGATGGATGATACACAAGCTCTTGTTACAAAGAGCATAAGAAATAAAATAGAGAATTTAACGAGTATAGTAAATCCAGAGGCAAATCGCAATCTAGTGACAATTTTAAATATTATCACTATAGAAGGAAAGATCACATCAAGAGAAACTTCAAGGGATGAATTAAAGAAAAAATAAGAGCTAAATTATAAGAAAAAAAAAGAATGGTGTTTTAAGTTTTCCTTTTAGATCAATTTTGTCCCTAGTTTAGTTTCTTCGTTTCAAATCAATAATTTTACTTAAGTAGTCTTCAATTACATATGTACTATCCGTGATTCAAAATCCTTCTTAAATATAAATATATTGTAAAGATATTTCATATAATTAATAAAAATAAATTTATTGAATATGAGGAATAAAAATTTAAACTTTAATTAAGATAATAAAAGGCTAAATAGAATACAAAATGTATTTTTTTTAGGCATCCTTTTTTTTTGTTTGGCTAGTTCCCTACTTTATATGCCTTGTTCCTTTTGATGATATACCTCAGTTTATCTTCAATTTATACCCTTATTTTACATAATAAAAGATAATTAAGAAATGCATAATGTTCTGTTTTTTTTTCCCATTATTTTTCCAATGTGAGTCAGTTTAATCCTTAGTCTTTTAGCCTCGCGGCTTTTTATAGCGACATGATTTAAACCTTTTTTCAATTACGCGCCCATTTTACAACTATATAGTATAGATTACTTTCGTTTTTTTTTTACCATAAATAATTATGATGGCTTCCTTGTGTGCATGCATTATTTCACATATATAATTTACCTATGCCAAAAACTTGCACAACTAAATTACTCTTTTAGAGAATTTATATTTTCATTCATCTTTGTTTCGTAATTATATACACACTATACCATTGCATTATTTACAGATGTGATTTCGTATAAAAAATTTATCCAAATCAGACATTAGGTTAACAAGTCTCATATTTTTAGAGACCAATGTTGCCCTAACGAGATTCTGTAGCTACTTTTGAATAGATTAGCAAGTGATATAAAACATTTTCATATGTGGCTGCATTTTCATGTTTATTATATGCATTTTTTTCATGCTTTATATACCTTGTATAGTGTATCTTGACATGCAATAATTTTCAATGTTTGAAATTCATACTAGAACTTTATTACTTGAATCCGATATTAAATTGACAAAACTCCTAATTTTAGGATTAGGCAACAATTTAATGTGATTCCACAATAAATTTTACCTAATTTAGCATGTCAAAAATTACATTTATATTTCGTCAAATTTTTAATTATTGCATTTTGCATCATGCTTGTATTAATTTGCATTTCGAGTTTTTCATCCTTATTTAGCATATTTTCAACATATAAATTTAATGTGATTTCACAATAAATTTTACCTAATTTAGCATGTCAAAAATTACATTTATATTTCGTCAAATTTTTAATTATTGCATTTTGCACCATGCTTGTATTAATTTGCATTTCGAGTTTTTCATCCTTATTTAGCATATTTTCAACATATAAATTTAATGTGATTTCACAATAAATTTTACCTAATTTAGCATGTCAAAAATTACATTTATATTTCGTCCAATTTTTAATTATTGCATTTTGCACCATGCTTGTATTAATTTGCATTTCGAGTTTTTCATCCTTATTTAGCATATTTTCAACATATAAATTTAGAGTAAAAGTTGGTTAGATTTCGACATTAAATTCATTGGATCTTAATTTTAGTGTCTGGTGGTAATTTAATGAGACTCCACAATAAATTTTATCTAATTTAGCATGTCAAAAATCACATCTCTATTTTCTCAAAAAATGTAATTATTAAGTTTTGCACCATGCTTGTATTAATTTGCATTTCAAGTTCTATATTCTCATTTTAGCATATTTTTCACATATAATTTTATATTGAAAATTGACTAGATCCAACATTTAAATTAGCAAGACTCTTAATCTAGGATCCAACGATAATTTAATGAGATTATACAAATAATTCTATAGATTTTATTTTTCCTTTTTGATGAATTTGTCAATCCATTGAGGTTGCAATTTTCGTAACCATCTTTCAACAATTAGTTTGTTTTCTATAATTGATAAAATCGTTGAAAACTTTTAATTGGATCGAGCGCTGCTAAAACCCAAAGACTCAAATTTTTGAATTTATCCAAAAATAATAGAAGCAAGCACGTTAATTCCAGATTCACATTAACTTGACTTAACAATAAACTCACAAATAGGTTTAATAATTAGACAAATAATAATTTATAAGAAATAAACATAACTCTAGAAACAAATAAGGTAACATTTGTTTAGAAAAAATGTTTTTGGGTGGTTGTAGTCTTTCTCTAAACATAATCAATTCACTCATTTTTCCTGAACAAGTGCTTTTTTAGGATTTTTAATCTTTTTACAAAAATTAAGCAGCAAATTTCTTTTTTTAACTTTTTTATTCTAAAAGTCGCATATGTCGGGTTGCAACAACAATTTTAATTTAACAATGTTATTAATAGAGGAAAAACATTCAACAAATTGTTGATGTAAATAGATTCTATCAATGTTTATATTAGTAAAGTAACTCTGATTAAATATGTTTTAATAGTAAATGGATGGATGATATCTTTATCCCGGTAAATTGTAATAGCTTCGAAACTGAAAATTAAATGTTAAATTTGTTAAATATTGAATTTTAAATGCTGAATAATTAAATACCGAATATTTTGTTGAAAAACTATTTAGTATTTACTGAAAATTAAGTGCTGAATATAATAAAATTGTTTGATAAGAACTGTTTCTAAACATATTAAGATTATATACATGATAATTTTAACATTGTAAATGTAATATAATTTTTTTAACACCAATAAAAATATATACATAGATATGTTTTGGGATGCATTTGTCTCCTTATCGAACGGAATATTATTGTGTTGAATTAATGTCTATAAATACATTAATTGTTGTGCCTCTTTCAGTCTATAACTATATTGTCTATATGTTTGCGAGTCATTCTAAAAGAAAAATGTCATCGTTCAACGGAAGATTCGACACCTAATCTATAAAATGAGTGAAAGGGTATATAATATGTAAGTTATACTTTGTCAATTCAAGTATAATAAAATTGGATAACACTCATAAAAAAATGATAATAATAATTACATAACTAAATATTCTTAAACAAGAAAACGCACAAAAACCCGTATAAGAGTGTCCGCAAATTAATATAATGGTTGGTGATCCATATTTTATTAATATCTTATCTCTCTCTCTCTCTCTCTCACACACACACACATATATATATATATGCTCGGAGTGATGATAAAAACTAGTACGTACATTAAAGTTTAAAAAGCTGTGTTTTACCTAAGCCTCACGGCATCATGATTAGTATGATATTTGTTTTATTGTTAGTATTATTCCTAGTAGAGTTAGATTCACGTTTTGTTTGTATAGTTAGGATTGTAAAAATATATGAGGACTATATAGTTATACTTAAAAAAAATCAACTAAGCATGTCAATAAAAAAAATTTAAATTAAAAACTTTAACTTACTTAATTAAGTGGATTTTTGCTGAATTTAAATTTTAAATATGAGATTATTTAAATTATCAAACAAATTTTTTATATTAAGTAGTACAACTTAATTTTTTAAGCTATTTAAATAGGTTGTTAAATACACCCTTAGTCTTTTAAAAAAATAAATTAAGTGGCTACTTTTTCTTTTTACCTCTTTTAATTTAAAAACCTCATACAACATTATTAACAGAGAGAAAACATTAAATAAATTGTTGATGTAAAGGGATTCTATCAACATTTATACTCGATAAAGTCACTCGATTGAATATGTGTTTAATAGTAAATGGATGAATAATATCTTTAACTAGAAAATTACAATAACTTTGGTAGTGTAATTAATGACAAAAATATTATAAAAGAAATAGATATAACGAGAGAATTGAAGGAAATGATGATAACAAAATGAATTCACTATAAAATGAATATAAGTGATAAGAACTTCAAATTATTCTGTTAATCTCTTTGAAAAACTTGTACACCAACTAATAAATAATCAAGCCTATTTATAAGCTTCAAAATTGAGTCGAGAATTGAAAGAGACTCGTAAATAATTAAAAGTACATAAATTGTTGAATCAATTACATCATCTTTTCAATTCATCATTCAATATGAAAAATTAGTCTTTCTAATTGAATGATGAATTGAATCACATTAAAAATCATGAGTAGTGAAAGTATGAAAAGTAGATGAACATTTATATTGACATTTATTATTCAATAATAAAAAACATCTTTTATATCTTAAATATCCTTATGATAAAAATACAAATAAATTATAAATTAGTCTCTCTAGTTCTACAAGTTGAATTAAATAATCTCTCTAGTTTCAAAAATCAATTAATTAGTTTTTTTTAACTAGTATTGATCATACTTAATTTAATATTTATTTGTTTAACAAAAATGTCTTATTTTCTCATCAAGATTTCCATAATATATATTTATTTTTTTATCTTTTTTATTTCTTAAAATAAAAAAAGGAAAATGACATGAAATGGATGAAAGGTTACATTAATTAATTTTTAAAATCAGAGGGACTAATTGATAATTTACTCAAAACATACATATACTATGTTCAAATTAGTTTTTACCCATGAATTTACTATAAATATCTTAATATTAATTTTTCAATGCAAGCCAACCAAAATTTTAGCTTTCTTGTGGGAGAAAAAAATGACATTATGACTAATATATATATATATAATTCATCGTTCAATTCCGTTTAAAAAAAAAAAAGTCATGGGCAAAAAATTAGAAAATACAACTATTTTTTCGCCTTTAAAAGATTTGATTAATCATTATGCCACCAATCCCCTTAGCTTGTATTTCTATGATCTAACCATATTAATAAATAGTAAATAATAAATCCATTAGTATTTCTTTTAAAAATCTATTAAAAATCTGCTAATTAAAAAAAAATAAAAATTGGAAGTAAAGCCTCTCTTCCAAAAATCAGTTACATTGTTGTTTACTTGCCAAAGAAAAATCCAAAAAGAACTGAAGAGCAGACACGCAAGTAAGTTAGAGATATGTACTCTTGTAAATGATAATAATGGGTAAGAATTCTATGCTATAACAAATACCCAATTATTGATATTTCTTCTCTCTCTTTCGGTCCTCCAATTCTCAGTTTTGCATTTGGTTTCAAATTCAGGGCAGATTCATCTTACCAAAAAACCCAATCCTCCTTTATCCCTTCCTCCACATCAAAACCTTCTTTAATTATTTTCTCAAAAAAGGCAAAAAGAAAGAAGAATCAATAAAGGAGGAGAGGTTTACGTTAGTTAGTTTATGGGTTTGGTTGAAATGCAAAACAATGAGGATGGGGATGGGAATGGGAATGGAGGATTCAACTTCAGAAGTTGCGTTTTTAGGAGAAAACAAGTTGATTCTGTACTTGTTACAAGACACAGAGGTAGCCAAGGCCAACAATTAGCTAAGATACTCTCTGTTGTCGACATCATTGCTATTGGTTCGTAACTAACTCAAGTAATTCTGTAATGGCTGGCTATGTGGGCATCTTGAAATGCCTTCTCTTTTTGTTGGAGTTTAAGGTTGCTGAGTATGCTGTCAAAGTTTTAGCTTTTTGTTTTCAATGTGAATTTATTTTATCTTCTTCCTGCCTGTCTGGTGTCTGCGTTTATTATCGTTATTTTTTGTTTTGCTCTTTGTAATGGAGCTAGCAGTCAGTTCTGTTTTTCATGTGTTTCAGAGATTGTTTTGGTTAACTTTTAAGGGTTTTTTAAAATAAATAAATACGGTTATTACTTGTGGTTACCTACTATTTAATGCTGGATATTTTTTATATATACTCGAAAATCTGAAATGCGGATCCTCGTTATTGTTCAGGTTAGTCATGAATTTACTCATTCTTAATAATTACTAACAATGAATGAGGATCTTGGGCTGCTGGGTCGGATTCTATTTCCTTTCAAATTTATCCAGTTTAGCTGGGGGAAGATTTGATGCATACTGATATTAATATTGTTTAAATTTTTGCTTCTTTTAATCAGGAGTAGGTGCAACAATTGGAGCTGGAGTATATATTCTTGTTGGAACGGTTGCTAGAGAGCAAACAGGACCAGCTCTTGCTGTTTCTTTCTTAATTGCTGGAATAGCAGCTGCTCTCTCAGCATTTTGTTATGCTGAACTTGTTTGTCGGTGCCCATCAGCCGGGAGTGCCTATCATTACACATACATTTGCATAGGAGAAGGGTATTTACAACTTCTTGGATAATTTTAAGCTTTCCATATCAGGCCTTGTCTTTATGCACGTTATTGTTTGCCAGTAAATTTCTTCTGAATTAGTGTGAGGTAACTCTAAAGATGACATTAAAACAGCAGTTTGAGTTTTCAATCCTCATCTCAAACTATACAGCTTAATACATGTTTGAAAATGATAAAAATGGTTCAAGAGAACGTGCTTCGGAATTGTTATTAAAGCATTTTGAGAGTTGAGTTTGGTGATTAAGTCATTACCTCTAATAAGAAGATTCAATTATAAAAGGACACAATCAGTAAGCTCATAAAGTGAAAGTTCAAGCAGATGTATATCTATATGCTTTGCAATGCCCTTGTCAGGACTTGAACATGTTGTCTTGCAGTGCAGCATGGTTGGTTGGCTGGGCATTGATTCTGGAATATACAATTGGTGGTTCCGCTATAGCTCGTGGCCTAACCCCAAATCTGGTGCAGTAGATCTTCTCTATATGAAGCTCTCTCTTCCATTATGCATTTCCTAGTATGCAATGAACTCCTATTTAAATACACTGTCCGACAAAGTTTTTATTTATTTATTTATGGATTTTGGGCTTTTGCTTGAGATGTGTGTATGAGTTTGTTCATGCATGTGCATCTTTTGCAATATCAATATTGAACAAAAATTGGCAATGTATCATGATTCATGAATTTTAAAGATGTGGGGCTGCTAGCACCTCACGAAGTGTTAATGGCACTCCCTTTCTCTCTTTAAAACAATGGAGTGCAATTGACACTTAGTGGAGTTCTATTAGTCGCACTTATTTATAGCTATCCATATTGTTTTTTTACCTTGACTGGTAAGCCCAGCATTTTTATCTTCCTTTTTTATTTTAAATTTTCAATCTTGAGACAACTTTATCATTTTTCAGATGAATGATGATAACTATCATTGAGGTTTTAAAAATTTTCTTTTTATCTTTCAAGCCAAATCAAGTGAGATCCAAACCACTTTTCTCTTTGGTTTTTCAGGCCTTACTTTTTGGAGGTGAGGATAACCTGCCTTCTTACTTATCCCGCCACACCATCCTTGGCATCGTGGTAGACCCATGTGCAGCAGTTTTAATTCTCATTGTCACTGTGCTCTTGTGCATTGGAATCAAGGAGGTATTTTTTTCCAACTATTTATTAGGTTTTTTTTTTCTGTTGGAATGCATATGTTTATTGATTTGTTTAATTAAATACTACAACTTGCAGAGTTCATTTGCACAAACTATTGTTACCACTGTGAATGTTTGTGGGATGCTTTTCATCATAATAGCTGGTGGATATATAGCCTTCAAGACTGGATGGGTTGGATATGAACTTCCTAGTGGGTAAGCAGTGTATATTTTGTCTACTTTGGCTCATTGCTGTACCCTAGTGGTCTATTTTATAATATTTTGTCTACTTTGGCTCATTACTGTACCCTAGTGGTCTAGTTTATCTTTTTTCTTTATTTCCTCTGATTTATAGGTATTTTCCCTTTGGAGTAAATGGGATGCTTGCAGGATCTGCTGTAGTTTTCTTTTCATTCATTGGCTTTGATGTTGTTGCTAGCACTGCTGAAGAGGTAATTTTTATCATGGACTGGCTGATGACTGGTGTTGTATGTGAAAAAAGAGCTAAGAGAAGAAATGGGAAAGGAAGATAGAATTCACAGTTCGTTCTCTTCATCTAACTTCCATGCAAGACTAATTAAAATCCAACTTTACAGAAATCCTGTAATGTAAAATCAACAGATATTCCTCAACTTTTCACATTGTAGATTGGTTCCTAATTTACTAGGAAATCAGGTCTTTAATCTTTTGACATGTGTATCTGATTCTACCTCTGTCCTCTATGAAGATGTTGTTTGCTTAGCTTATTATTGTAATTAATATGATGTGCATATTCTGATATGGTTTCTTGTGTGGGCACACCTGGGTAATTACTCTACACTCTTTACCCTAAGATGCAAAACACACTGTTAAAGGCTATTTATTATTCAGTTGTGATCCTGCCATAGTGACATCCTGGGAGGAAGAATATGAAGTAACTACTCTAATATTCAAATCTGCAGCTTTATGATTTCGACTTCAACAATTTATCATGGCATCAATGATGAACCCCAAGATTCAAGAACATGACTAAATTTAACAATTGTTTACTTTTTCCCCCATGTCCTTGTACAAGTTGAAGTGTCTGTAATTTGGCAGGTCAGAGGAAATTAACTGGTTCAAAATTTGATATAATAAAGCTATAAAATCATCATCATTATGAAACTTAGTAGAGCAAGAATGTACAAGCGTGTTTTTCTTTATCCATCCTTTATGCCATAGTAGTAGCTATCCATCATAAGGCCCCATTTCATCTGCATGATTGTTGAATTATGACTTATCATGTCCTATGAAGAAAGTTTGTCTTACAATTTGATCATATAGAAGAAAGGAGGATGCTCTTTGTGTGGCAGAGGGAGTATAATTATGGGAGACCTTGCTAGGATAAATCATTGAGATTGCAACCGTATATAAAGTGTATTCTGACATGTTTGTTGATCAGTATCTGTAGCATTATTAATCTGTTTCTGCCTCTCTATGTATGTGACGTCTGTTTGAGTTATTATTTGGTTTAATCTTATCTTTACATACCATGTGGGCCCCAGTGACTGAATCATTGGGCTTCTTGTGTAGCTTTTTAACTTCATTATCATCATCATTTTTTATCATTTCAGGTGAAAAATCCACAACGTGATCTGCCCTTAGGTATAGGCATCGCTTTGTCTATATGTTGCGTTCTATACATGCTTGTCTCTGTTGTTGTTGTTGGCTTAGTGCCCTACTATGCATTGGATCCAGACACTCCGATCTCTTCAGCATTTGCTTCTCATGGGATGCAATGGGCAGTGTAAGCTTTTCCTTCTAGATTGTCGATTTGATTGTTTAACTTTGAGTGTATTAAGCTGTTGGTTGTAATCTGATTTCTAACTTTTATAATTGCAGTTACATAATAACAACTGGGGCAGTCACTGCTTTATGTGCCAGTTTAATGGGTTCACTTCTTCCACAGGCATGTAATTCATGCATCGTGTGATTTAGAATAATTCTTATTCATTTATCATGTGATAGTGGGATAGTATGGATATACTTTCAACTCCGGCAGATTTCTTTGAGCTCTAGTGAGTGCACAAAAGTTGCATCACCTCTTTTTGTCTCCTCCTTTTTTAAAATGCTACAAAATGTTGCATGAGACTTGTTATTTTAACTCATGTGCATGTTTTTTTTTTTTTTTTTTTTTGCATGAGACTTGCAAGAGACTATGAAGTCTGTGTATCAATACAAAAATTTTGCAAGTATATTTTGGCAGTGATTGTTTTCATGGATTCTCTTCAGCCTCGAATGTTCATGGCAATGGCTAGAGACGGATTGTTGCCATCTTTTTTTTCAGACATAAATGAACGCACACAAGTTCCAGTGAAGAGCACAGTAACAATTGGCATTCTTGCTGCAGCCTTGGCCTTTTTTATGGATGTTTCGCAGTTGGCAGGAATGGTAAGTTAGACATTTGAATTAGAGATGTTTTATGAGGAAGAATACATTTCTTTCTTTCTGTATGAACACAAACCTTTTTCCATAGAAATACAGGAAGGCAAGTGTGTTAATTCCTTCCTGGGTACAGGTTAGCGTTGGTACACTTCTTGCATTCACTTCTGTTGCAGTTTCGGTGCTAATACTCAGATATGTTCCACCGGATGAGGTGCCACTTCATTCATCATTTCAGCATCATACTGGTTCACTGTCACAACAGTTCAGTAGTGATATTCAGGAGGTTGCATATCAAAACCCTAAGGGTTCTCTCAGCAACTGTGATCGTAGTCAACATTTACTTGACAATGAGGGGACTTCAATTGGATGCACTCTTCTTCAGAAACACATGGCTCAAGGTACTACCCATTGTATTCTATGGTCTTTGGACATGACTTCTTTTTCCATTCTATTATTCTCATACTCTTATGTCCTTGTGTTTTAGCATGACATGGAAATGCATATACATAACAAGACGTAGAGCAAATGCTATAGAGCATAAGTGTTGATTTTTAATGTATGTTGTTTACAAAAGGAGCAATCAAAAATTTGTATAAAGAATGCCTTAGAAACAGAAAAACAACTGAATACTCTCAAAAGGTAAACTGGATTCTACATTACGCAAACTGGCATTTTCTCTAAAGTAAGTATCCATGCCGACACAATGTTTTTTGATAAGCCTTGTCAACATAACATGAAACTGGCAGGAGAGTTAAATCCAGGTTATACGTGGCTAAAGAATTTGAAACATCACTACTTTGTAGAATACTCATTTATATATATGTGTGTGTGTGTGTGTGTGTGTGTGTGTGTGAAAGAGAGAGGTTCTGGCTTATGGGAAAGAGGTAGAAGAAAGGAAGAGGAAGAAGAGAGCTTCATATCTTTAAATTCTGTCTGGAAGTGTGATATGGGTTCTAAAATTAGGTTGTTGTGTACATGATGTCAACAGTACCCATAACTGGAAGCCAATTGGAAAAGCGCAATGATTGTCCTTCCTTTCTTTTTCATTTACCAGACATGTAAGCCCATATTTTAAGGAAGACAATTATTCTTGTAGATAATTGGCACAAATCCAAACTGTACCTGGCTCTGGGATCTGTTCAGGTATCCTAAATTCTAGGTTTTGATGAATCAGGTACTTGGATTTGTACCTAAATTGTCTATTTACCAAGTCTGTGATATAGAGTTGCCTTAACAATTCCCTTTAACTATGAGTCTATGACCCCTTATATGTTGGCTGTATATGTGGATGCATCTTTCATGTGTTCATTTTATTTCATTGTTGAAATTCTTACAGTTCATAGTTAAATAACCAATACTTAAGGAAACACTTCTGCATTAGCATGTTCTCTGGAATGAGTTCTCATGAATCATGACACAATTATTAAAAGAAAAGCAACATAATACAGTGTCTAAGCGCTCCCAAACCTCCTTGAGGTGAACCATGGTACTACGAACTCGAAGTTTCATGTCATGGAACTAAGTCGTCATGGACAGAAATGGTTATAAATCTAGCATGTGTTCTGTTAAGAGTTAAATCTACCTGGACGTCTGTGTTTTGGTTATAAGGAAATCGTATTGGAGTGCAAATGGTGGCACTATCTTCACTTTTTGATTGTGGCAGAAATGAGCTTGCACGAACAAATATAAAAATCAAGCTTAACTCTGGAAGTTGAATAAATGAAAAATAATACATATAAAGAAATGAAAGTATCCAAAAGCTCTGTTACTGTCTTTTCTCAGCATGTCTTTTCATCCCAAAATATCAGGTGTGTGGTGGATTTCTCTTATGTGGAATTTACTTTGCTTTAATTTGAGAAACAGAGAAGCATTTGTTGTCTGGTTATAGTCTTGTTATACTAGTAGTTCGTGGATTCTTGTAAACATACCTCTCAATATTAGAATTGTCTGGACAAACTCCATAGGATTTGTCAATTGATATAATTTTTTGTGTTTCATTTCAATTACACAGATGAACAGACTCAACAAAAAAGGCGAAAAATTGCTGCTTGGAATATAGCCCTTGTATGCATAGGTGTTCTTGTCCTTGCATCTGCAGCTTCTGTTGAAAATATTCCCAGGTTTGTCATCTGCTCTAAAATCTGCAGTTGTATAGCTTTCCATTCACAGCTTAGGTTGTTGCTCATGATTTTTCAAGGGAGATGAAACTATTGTCCCGGTACAATTCTTGTTTTGAATTGGCATGTGCATTATGGTTTTTAATAGGACAAAACTGAATTTTAGCACAATAAAACAAGGATACAGATTAGGTAGAGAGAGTATTTCATTTAGGTTACTCAGGACATGGGTGTCTTCCCATAGGCCTAGCCTTGATTGTTGTAGGATGGAATGCTTATCCTTTCACTCTCCCGTTTAGAGGTGCAAGCTTTCTTCCCATTCTTAAGTGTTTTAGGTTATAAGGAGTTCCATCTGTTGGCTAAAGGGCCATTGCTTTTTCCACTTTCAAGTCTTCTGATTCACCCTTCTAAGATGAGTCCCCTTAGCTCAGCTTGAGAATTGTTCTTAACCATTTGCATGTGTGTTCCCAACGTGTATAAACAATAAATGGAAGTTTTTTATCTGAAATACAGTACAATAATTCTAAAAGAAGAAGTGTACCTTGTCTTCTGCAGTATAGGGTTAGTCCAAGACGTGCTTTACCTTACTATGCAACTGATATGATTCTAATGGTTTGTAACTTTGACCTTTATTTTACCAGCTTTCTTCGCTTCACATTGTGTTCAGTGGGTGGAACTATTCTTTTGTGCAGTTTGATTGTTCTGGCTTGCTTAGCACAGGATAGTGCGAGGCACAGCTTTGGGCACTCAGGAGGTATGTCCAAACTTATGTAATACAATGTTTAAGGAGATTGATTAAGGTTAGGTATTGTAAAGGATTTCTTAACCCTCTTGACCACTTTAAAGCTCTGCTGATTTTGTCTACTTGGTTCTAAAATTTTTGGCTGGATTAATATGTATAGAAACTTAAAGTGGCTGCTAGGGATCAAATTTACAAAGAAACCATTGCTTCAACCCAAGAGGACCTCAAAACTACGTAACTTGGTAAATAAGATCACTTGATGGAATTTCTTGAAAGTTCAAAACCACACGTAACAATTCAGGGGAAGAAAAGGAGAGTTGGTGATGTATAGAATAGTTTGAGTGAATTGTTGATCATTGCTTAACTGTGGCACTTTGGGAATCTCGTGCTTATAGTCTTACCCATATATCTTTTATAATACAAATCTTGTATTTAAAAGGTTCTCATACGTGTGCAATAATTATTCACAGAATGATATTGATCTTTTTCCAGGTTTTGTTTGTCCTTTTGTTCCATTCTTACCTGTTGCTTGCATTCTTGTCAACGCATACTTATTAGTTAATTTGGGGTGAGTATCCAACCAACTAACCTTCTCTCTCACTCTCTCTGATAAAGTTTTTATTTGAGCTCAATTTCACTGAGTTTTCCACCCATGTCTGACTTGTTGGTCTTATGCATGGATGTGCAGGGCTGGCACATGGTTCCGTGTTTCCATATGGCTTCTAGTAGGGGCATTAGTTTATTTATTTTATGGCCGCACCCATAGCTCACTGATGAATGCAGTTTATGTTCCTACTGCCTATGCTGATGAGATCTACCGCACCTCGTCAGATCGTCTGGTGTAGATCATGGCAAGGCATGCACCAACAATCACCTTTATCTTTCCTTATCTGCTCTCACACGAGGCGTTCTTGGAAGCATTTTTTCTGATATTTATGGGAAAGATATATAATTCTGGCTGAGAAAAGGCTAATGAGTCTTCTGTTGTATAGTTGTATTGGTTAATTTAGCTGGCTTCTTCTCTCTCTCTTGGGGAAACTTGTAAATAGCTTATAGCTCAAACGCGATGATTGTACATTTATGCAGTACGTGTGTGAATGAAAAAATTATAAAGATAAGTATTGCTTACTCCCCAATTTTTCCTGTGATACTTGTGACGTCTTTTTAGTATTTCTTTTCAGTGCAGCATATGACAATAAAAGTGGTTAATATGGGCTTTAGTAATAGAAAGTAATCCTTTGAGATGATTTCCTTACAGTTTTGAGTGACTGCATTTGGAACAAAGGATACCTTCTTTTGTTAGTCTTTGACATGCATGGCTTAGTTTCGATTCATGGGCACATATGTCCTTTGAGAAACCTGATGACTGAAGTAAGATGCCTGTCTTCATCGCCAACTTCATGCCTCTAGCCATGATAGGGACAACATACAGCTACCCTACAAGAACACGCGAAATCCAACCCTTATAAAGTTATGGAATTATGCTTTGTGATGATCTTGAAGAGATTTTTTGCTGCATTCTTAAAACAAGATTGATGAGTCTGAAATCTCGGTTGATGATTTGTACGAGAGTTATGCTTTGTGATGATCTTAGAGACATTGTTGCTGCATTTGTAAAATAAGATTGATGACTTTGAAAACCTCGGTTGATGAGGTGCAAGAGGTGGTTTTTTCTTGGTTGGTGCAGTTGTGGAGTTTTGATGACGGATGAAAATTAAGCGAGCTTGAATATTTACAAAACAAGTCTTCCATTATGGGTGGAGGATCTTATGATAACTAAGTTGGAGTATAGAGGTAGATTATAGCATGAGAATGTAATAATGTAATAATACTTGTAGCATACACTGAATAGTGGTTGCTAGCTTAGAATTTCAAAATCTGGAATTTTAGGCCTTCCTATTGCTTATATAGCCAAAGGCCTCTCGTTAAGTCTCATGAAGAGGGATGTAATGATATATTTTCTTGTTATCAACAACTTTTGATATCTATTTGAAAGATAAATGTTTTTAACGTTGACAAACTACAGTTTAAGAGAACATCAAAATGTTATTGTTGGCATTGACTAGACGGATCCGGTCTTAATAGTATAATTATTTAATAAATATATAGTTTGTTCCCATCGTGAAACTGGAATCAATCATAAAAACCTATTTTTTGAAGCGAGACTGTTCGGCATGCCCATTTAGGTGACATAGTAAGGTCTACTTTCTTGATTATGTCCATGGTGTAGTCTTGTCTAACTAAAACGTTCGTCCGAATGGGTTCTCAAGACTTACCGGTTGTTATATGTTAACATGTGTCATTCAAAAATATCAATTGTCCTCTTGAGTTTTGACAACTATGATTGCAAAAGACTAACTTGGCATTTGAATTTTAGATGAACTTAACGTGTTTGGGGTGGTCATGAGATTGGTTTGTTCATCTATTTGACTCGTTACAATTGGCATCTTTATTAGGGTCATTTATTGCCCGTTATTTTGATACTCACATTTTTCTAAGAGAGGCCAATCATTTGCATGCGGATGCATTAGAGAAAACCAAAAGATCGGATCTTTTAGAATTCATAAATTCCCTCAAAATTTATCCATGTCGGTTGCTAAATAGCTCATGTGGTCGATTATGATTGGCCACATCATATTGGACCTCGCCGGATAGGCATGTGTTTTTGGGTGATTTGGGATTAGAGCTCGTGTTTCGAGCTTAAAAATAGTACAAGAGACTTCCTTGTTCTCAATTTTTATTCTCATCTTTAGTTTGTTATTTCTTTTCTTTCTTCTCTCGTTTCTAAAAAAAGTTGTTTTTGGCAAATTATGAGTTTTTTTTTTGGAAAATTTTATCTATAAATCATCTTGCAGGAGTAACTTTATACATGCTTGAAGTGATACTTAGAACTAAATTGGTGGTTTTGTGAATAAGAGTTGTTGTTTGTAGTGATCTCATTTTTTTAGCAATCGACGGTGTTTATCAATGGGTAAACTTTAAGCCTTTTGTCTATTTATTTATTTGAAAAAAATGATAGATTTAGATAAAGTCCGGAGTGAATTTGAAGCTACCTCAAGTAAAGTTTATAGAAAAAAAAAAAAAGAAATAAACCCTTATACGGACATGACGAGTTTCTCATAAGGCTACACTAGAGCTTAGATCTATCCTTATTAATGAACATCCTATTGAAATGTCTATGGAAAAATTTTATATGGCAGTTTGAGGTCATTCTCACACTAGGTCTTTTAGGCATTGTTACTTTCTAATCAAGAATTTCAAAAATAGGTATTGAATGACCCGTCATTATACTTTTTTGGTCGTGGAGTCGAGTCCACTAAAAAGATTACTAGTGGGGAAAAATGACTTCGTTAAAGATTGGAGAAAAGAGTAATTTATGATAAAATATAACAAGTTCGTGCCTCTAGGTACATCTTAAAAGGTGTTGGGTATGCTTCTTTTTGGAGATCGTTTCGAATGATAGCACTCGTCATTCCTTCACAATCTTGCGTTGATCATGACTTTTAGGAAAGGGTCAAGAGCACGGGTGGTAGATATCGAATTAGCTTTCTAGCTAAGGGATTATCCTTGACTCATGGTTTCAAGACTAGATAGGCCAATCCTATTTATTAATTTTTTTTTATCAAAAAATTGAAATTTTATCATAGGTGTACTAACATCTTGTTTCGATTTTTGTAGTGAGTAAGATGCTTAAGGAAGGGCTGACCGCTAAGAGTTTGAATAATTTGAAGAGAGGGGTGTTATCTTGGCGAACAAAGTCAATCCTTCTAGGACATCTTGTGAATACCTAGGAAGATGGACTCGAAGTTCTTAGGAGACAAACCTCTCACTATTAGTGAAGGTGAAGGCCAAAAAGGTCTTCTCAATTAGGTTCCTTTTTCTTTATGCCTTGTGTGTCTACTCTTAAGGGTATCGAACATTAGAGCTTGCCTACTCAAGAGGCAAAGAGTTGATTATGTAACTCAAGTTGCGAAAGATCTACCAAAACAACAATTAGAGCCTTAACTTACATCTTAGCCTACCATTAGTTAAGTAACGGATCAGTTAAGCAGTAATATAGTAATATAAGTATGTAGGAGATAATGAATAATGGTCGAAGGTTTAGAAATTTAAAATCCGAAACCCTAGGTCCTTCGTTGTTTATATAGACAAGGATGTTTGTGAAGTTGGATGGAAAGAGGAATAAGACAATATATTCATTTGCCAACAGACTTTTGACATCTATTTGGAGAATAAATTATTGAAAAATAATTAATGTGTGCCCTAATTATGTTATTAATTATGTGTTATAGGCTATCATTTATGTTTGTAGATAACAAAGTTTAATTTCTATTTTTATGATGGGCCAAAATAGAAGTCGACTTAAGACGCTTATATATGTGTATTTGTGTGTGGTTATGGTCCCCAAGTCATACGTCCTTCTATTCGGACATCTCATCATCGGATAAAATACATAGACAAAACTTTTATTCTCTAAAGAAATCGTATAGACTTAAAAGATCAAGAACCACAAGAGCCACAATCAAGTTTGTTCCTATGGATTCGTGTATGCTTCCGTTTTAATTTTTTTCTTTGATGATTTAACTTGAGATCTTGATTATGATGAGAGTTTCATCATCTTTAGGGAAATTTTAATAATTGTTATCGTAGCCTAAATCATGTTTAATATAAAAGATAAGAAAATTTTCCTCAATGATTCAACATGATTTAGGCTCGATAATATATATATATATATATATATATATATATATATATATATATATATATATATATATATATGAATTCAAATTGTTTAGTTGAGTTCAATTTTTAATTTTTTCTAAAAAAAATTTCAAATATTCTATCAAAAATTTATATTTCAATTTTGGAGAACGATTTTTTTTTCTTTGCAAGTCCGTAATTTTTTTACCAACTCAAAGGAGCTATTGGGTCACTCGAGCCTAAAAGAAACTAAAGCTTGTATGGTTTTAGGCTATTAATATAAGATCCAAATGGGTTAGATAAGGATCTAGGTTAGGTTGACTTAACACGATCGAAAAGAAATCAAAAGAGCTATTGAGTCGATTGGGCCTAAAAGAAACTAAAGCTCGTATGGTTTTAGGCTACTAATATAAGATCCTAATGGGTTAGATAAGGATCTAGGTTGGGTTGACCCAACACGATCGTTTGTGTTTGATTTCGGCCTTTGACTTTGTTTTTTGACCAATAGAGTCGAGTAGTATGTATGTAATTCATGCAGATATTAAGTTATTCAAAGAAAAATTAATATTTGATCGAATTACATGTATATCTATAGATAATAAATAATGTGTGTATAATTCATACGGATATTGACTGGTCCAAAAAAAGTCAATATTTGGTCAAATTACATGCACACTCGTAGTAATAAATATGTAACAATTATAAGGTGTTCCATGTGAGCAATAAGTCTATCCAAAGAAAGACTTGTTGTTTGACAAGATTTATTGTCAATATTTGATTAGTACACTAAAGGTACCACTTATAAGTTGAAATTTCTATCCAAAAACTAAATATCAATGGTGTACTAGGTATGTTATGAAAAATTTTATAATACACAAGGAGTAACTAGTGACATGTACAGTAGTTACTCCTTGGATTCATTTTGAGGAGAGAAATAGACATATAAAAAAAAAAATTACATCTATACCCACCAAAAGTGATAAGAAGATTTCCACATCCGTTCAAATTTTTTTATTTTCTCTCTCCTATTTTTCTCTCTCTTTTGTGTCTATCTCTCTCTTCAAAATGGGCCCAAGGAGTAATCGTTGTACATACCACTAGTTACTCCTCGTGTATTATAAAAATTTTCGATATGTTATGATAG